GTTTTCTTTTGTTCCCCTGAGAATATTGCAACAAATTTATAGTCTTCTGTTTGCTTCTCTAATTGTGTTTCTTTGAGTTTTTGTGTTTGGGGCTTGTTGAGTTTGGTGCGTGCCTCTAATGCTTTTGTTTTGTTCCAGCCTTCTCTATATTTAAGAGAAGTCTTAAATGTAGTAGTCTTCTTTGTAGGTCTTTAGATCTGTGTATCCTGGCCTGCCTCGGTTGGTGGGTGAAGAATGACTTGCTTTCTAGTGGGGCAAGCTGGTGGTTGTCTTTAGAAGATGGAGGCGACGTGGGAGTCAGGAGCTTCCTGAGGGGCTGTCACCTTAGAGGCTCCTCCCTTTGGAATTCTGGGGCCGACAGGACTGCCGTCTGCAGGTTGGAACACCAGGAGAGAGCTCTGACTTCCTGCTGCTCCAGGTTTCTTCTCACTGTCTACTCAGAGAGGGGCTTCTCCCCACCTTCCACACTCACGTTTGCCTTGACCTGGCTCAAGGGCTTCAGCTTTGCATTGGTCTTATGTTTGGGGGTTGTCATTTGTTCCTATATTTAATTTTTTTAAACACTTATCTTTTCCTTTAATCTCATCTTTTTTAATCTTTCTTTTATCTTTCTAAGATTCCTCAGAGTTTGTTAGTTTATGTATGGAACCCTTTACTTTCCAGCACTGTTGTAGATTTGCTTCTTAAAAGTCAGTTTCAGTATTTCCCGGAGATTTAGATGGGAGAGGGAAATTGTCTAAGGGAATTGTCTTTATCTAAGCACCTAAACCTTTTATCAAAAAGGATCACCTAAAAACCATTCCTTGAGTTAAACAAAGGGAAATGATGAAATCAGAGTCTTGATCTTTTTCAGTCAGTTGATGACTGAAAAACGGGGCCATGCTGTTTCCATTTCCTGGGGAGATGCTGGGTGTATGGTAGCTGTTCAGTTGAACCTAGTCTTAGTTTCACAATCCAGGTTTACACAAAATGTAAGGAGATAAGTGATTTCTTCTGTGAAAGGGATCTTAACCATAACTAGTGTGTCTCTTCCATTTCAAGGTCTGTTTGCGTATAGTTTTAGGGGCTGTCAAAGTATAGTGGATGCCAGTTAACCACACATTCTGACAAAGTTACCTGTCTCAGCTTTCCTTAGTCCAAAACAGACTCAGAATCGCTGAAATAAAACCATAGTAATTCACTGTTCTCAGAGAACCTAGAGAATAAAATTATTAATGGAAGATTATTTAAATTTTCTCTGGTGAGATTACAGTATTACTTTAGAACACATGTGTGTGTTTACATCCAAAGAGTACTACCTGTCAGTGTAAAGATATGACTGTAAGAATGTTTATAGCAGTAAACTTGGAAACAGTCTAAATATTGATGCTGAAAACTCAGCCTCTCTGCATCAATCAGAATAAAATCTCAGAGACAGAGTTTTGGCCGAAGTAGAAAAGAATAGCTTTATTACTTTGCCAGGCAAAGGGAGACACAGCCGGCCTGTGCCCTGAAAAGCTGTATGTCCCAACCTGGGATGATTTGTTGAAAAGTTTTACAGCAGGTTCAAGGGCAGAGTTGCTAATTAGGATCTGGGTATGCCCATGCCTTTAGTCTGGCCTGGGGCTGGGTGAGGTGGGGGGCAGTCTCCTCCCTTGTCTTGGAATCTCCTCCCATCCCTGATGAGCAACTGTTTGAATTTGCCCTTTCAAGGTCATGGAGACTGGAATCTTCTTACAAACAAGAAATGGGGACTTAGAAAGACTTCCATGCCCAGGAACTCCCAGGGTCCTGCTTAGTTTCAATATCTAATAGTACAGAATAGGTTAAACAATATATTAGAACATTATGTAGACATTTAAAACTCTTGTAAAATAACATTTACTGATTTGGAAAAATAATTTTTTTTCCTTGATGAGAAAGAATTATTTTTGGAATAAGTTTTTTTAAAGTTACTTGAAATAGCAAAAAATTCAAATTTGTGATAAAGATTTGGGGAATGATTCTTGTTTTAATTAAGTACAAGAATCTGCCATTTTATCTAATGCAACTATTGTAGAGGAGGAAGCTTTCCTTGATGCTCTTGCTCTTAGGGTTGGGTCTGAAAATTAAACCAACTAAAGATTAATAGGAGAAAAGTACACAAATTTAATGTGAGTTTTACATATCAGGGAGATCTTCTAAAGGAAATGAAGATCCAAAGAAGTGGACCTGATTATTTTACACTGGGCGTGATGACAGTTGTGGAGGAATGTGGTGGGTTAAGAAGTACAAAGCATGTCTTAGTGATATTGATGGCTGAGTGCCAGCGTGCATGCCTGCTCATTCGCTTCAGTCCTGTCCTTTGCGACCCCACGGATGTAGCCAGCCAGGCTCCTCTGTCCTTGGGATTCTCCAGGCAAGAATGCTGGAGTGGGTTGCCATGCCCTTCTCCAGGGGATCTTCCCGACCCAGGGATCCAACCCAGGTTTGCACACGCAGGCAGATTCTGTACTGTTTGAGCCCCAGGGAAGATCTGTGCAGCAGTGAAGCATGTCACATGAGTTATTGGGTTTCCCGGGATGTGTTCAAGTTAGGTTTACATGATACTGTTGTTTATTAAGTGTGCAGTCGCATTATGTCTGAAAACCAGTGTATGCACTCTAATTAAAAATACTTTATTGCTAAAAAACACTAACCATCAGCTGAGCTTCCAGTGAGTCACAGTCTTGTTGCTGGTAGAGGACTTGAAATATTGGGAGAATTATCAGTATGTAACAGAGAAACATGAAGTGAGCAAATGCTATTGGAAAAGTGATACCAGTAGTCTTGCTCTATCTATGCAGAGTTGCCACAGACCTTCAATTTGTAAAGAAAAAAGAAAAAGAAAAGCAGTATCAGTGAAGCACAATAAAGTGAAGCATGCTTGTAATTGTAGTAAGTGGGAGGGGCAGGGGACAATGATGACTTAGCAAGCCTGTCTTCTTAGGTTCTTTCACTATCCCTGTGTCTTCTGAGATTCAGATGCTCCTTTCCTCTTGGTGTAGGGTGGGCACCTCTTAATGAGGTCTTATGATCTATTTTCTGTTTTAAGAAAGAAAGATAAGGAGGGAGAAGGTCAGAGTAACCTTCCTGTTTCTGCTGTTTTCTCATATTCCTTCAGTTTAAAATATTCAAGATGCCAAGGTGCCACATTTAGGGGCAGCATGTCCTCAACCCACCAGTTGCCATGGCTAACCTGTTTTGGAATTTGTTAATGATGATTCAGTTCTCATTAATATTACAAATACTACCTTTGACTTCCCTGGTGGTTCAAATGGTAAAGAATCTGCCTGCAATGTAGGAAACCTGGGTTCGATCTTGGGGTCGGGAAAACCCCTGGAGAAGGGAATGGCAACCCACTCCAGTATTCTTGCCTGGAGAATCCCATGCACAGAGGAGCCTGGCGGGCTACAGTCCATGGGGTTGCAGAGTCGGACACACGACTCAGAGAATTTCACTTTCACTTTTCACCTTTAATTATTTGATACCTCATTGGTGGAGGAAATTTGTCAAAAATTTTAACAAATATCAAGAACATAATTATGGGGACAATGATTTGAACACTTCTAGCCAAAAATTATTTTAATCAAATTCACTTTTTTCTATAAACAGACAGTGTCTGAAAAAAATGACTTAACACTTTAGTACTGCAAAATTAGACAGGCTCCAACTTGAATATATATTTTAAATGCTTGCTTAATAATGCTAAAATATGTTGAACAATTATGGTATTATGTGGGAAGGGCTTTACCTGCATTATCTCACTTAATCTAACAACACTTTTAGCAAGATGGGTATTTTTAACATCCCCATTTACCATGTGAGAGATAAGACTTAGGCAGATTGTGATCACAGAAGTAAATTCAGTTTGTTGATTCCATAGCCATGAAGGACCCAAGCTACTTCTGTCTGCTGAGCTCTCCCTAGTGTTTGGCTCTGATTCTCAGGGTCATTCCTGGTCCAGTATGGTTGTTCGAAGTTTGTCTGTCAGGGCCAGGCAGGAAGGGCAAATAGACTCTATACCAGTTTTTGTTGCCTTTAAAATGCCTTTCTGAAAATTCCACCTCACAACTTACCTGTGTTTTATTGGCTGGAACTTAAGCCTGTAGCAACAACTTGCTACAAGAAAAGCTACAACATTGCTGCTCAGAATAAAATCAGGCTTCCCTTATTTAGGAAGAAGGGGAATATTTGGTTTTGAAAAGCAGCTAGCCGTCTCTGTCTATGATAAGGCTGTAGGAGACATCTCATCCATACTTCTCAGTTTAAACTGTGAAAGCCCTGTCTATACAGCTGGCAGTGGCAGGATTGTAGGTCTTCTCTTGCTGACCTGTTTTAACTAGAGGACTTGGCAATTGCTGCTTCTTGTTCAGTTGCTAAGTCAAGTTGTGTCCAACTCTTTCCAGCCCCATGGACTGCAGCATGCCCGGCTTCCCAATTCTTTACTATCTCCCGGAGTTTGCTCAAACCCATGCCCACAGTTGCTTCTACTAATGATAGATTGCTTCCCCGGTGGCTCAGACAGTAAAGAATCCACCTGCGATACGGGAGACTGGATTTGATCCTTGCGTTGGGAAGATCCCCCGGAAGAGGGCATGGCAACTTGCTCTAGCACTCTTGCCTGGAGAATCCCCACGGGGTCACAAAGAGTCAGACACAACTGAGTGACTAAGCACAGTGCGCAGCACAGTGGTAAATTAGATAAAGCGATAGTAATCAGTGTAGCACTAATACAAGAGTTTTTCTTTGCCTCTTTACCTCATCAGCTTAACTCCATCTCTTAGCAAGCCCCTGACAATATCTCAGAATAGTATTGCCTGCTTATTTGATAATCTTTTCTATGGTCATTTCCCCATCAAGATAGAAGTTATATTTGCTCTCTAGATTCTGTGATTAAAATGAAGTAGTTTTAGTAGACTCTACAAATTTTAATGTTTGCTTTTAACATTAATGGTTTTTATAACTTTGGATAAATTTTTTTCTCAATTTTTTTCCTACAGTATAGCTGAAATACAGAAAGATGTGGAATACAGGTTGCCTTTCACCGTAAATAACCTGACAATTAACATTAATATGTGAGTAGAATTGTATCCTATTTTTTCATATAATAGGACTTTGAAAAATCTTTTTTATCATTTTGTTTCTTAGCTACTGTCAGAAGTAAACTGTTTAAAAGTGAATTTATTTCCTTTTCTAGTACCTAAAGTTTATTAAACTTACACAATTCTGTGAAATAAAAAGGTTTAAATATGTCATTGTAATAGAGATTGTGGTAAGAAACTATGAAAGAGGAAATGGAATACAAAGATGTAATTGTTTTTATTGATTTGCACTAAACTCTTAACTGGAGGCAGGCTGAAAGAGTGAGCATGACAACAACAGTGGAAGGGATCGTGTGCAGAAACCGTTAGAGGACAATCACCTTTACATCAGAAACAAGTTAAAATATTCTAGTTTTCAGCAACCAATATAATACATCAACCAGCAAGTTCAGAGTTGAATTTGATCTACCGATTATTTTTAAAGAAAAAAAAATTAGAAGTAAAAAATATAATCATGACATTATTAAGTAATAAAGAGGAAAGTTTGGGGAAAGTGATTGCTAGTACTCATTTAGCCATAGTGCATTTATTAGATTTCAACATGAAAGAATTATTATTACCTCAGATTGCATTAGGTGGCTGGCTGCTCAAGTGAGTGTTTTAGTGAGGTACAGTAAAAATGCACTTAACTTGAAGATGGAAACTATGCTTGTTCATTGTCAGATCCTCATTGCCTAGCGAGGTACCTTCACGTGGGATCCCATATTAAATCCTAGTTGAATGAGTGGAAATTAAAGCGTGAGTATATAGCAGTGCCAACCATTATGCTGTGTTATCTCGATATATGGGAGCTTTATGAATTGTCACAGCAGCCCTGAAAACTAAAACAAATTATACACAAGTAGGTAATGAATACAGTAGTCAGGAGAGAAACCCAGACTGTTTGGGCTCCAAAGGCCATTCATTGCCTCTTTTCCAAAGTAGTTTAAGAGCGTAATCTATATACCTGAAGTAGTTTTTCCTCTCATCACATGCCCTGGCACAGCTAAGTAGGAGAAGTCAACAAAGACCTAGTTTCCCTCTTAACAGTGCCGCCGACAAATCGTCCCTGAGCCAGGAGCTTAAAAGGAGATGTTCATCTAGATTTTAGAGAGTTGGAAGGCTCCATTGTCCAGTAAAAGTGCATTGTTAGATTTCACTCCCTAATTTCAAATTTGCAGTAGTTCTGTCTGAAAGGGTTAAGATTTTTACTCTTTTTCCTTTTGGTGTTGCGAACTTAGTTAGTTACCTGAAACTGTTGGACTGACCTCAAGGTTGGGAGAGATGTGTTAATTGAGACATTTTGAAGAGAGCAGCGTAGCACCAAGGCATGGTGTCAGCTCCAGTATCCGAGCCCTAGTGCATCTCATTTTATTTACTTGCTCATTATGAATTCAGTGTATAGTGAAATACTTCTTGGCAGTATTTCAAAAGAAGGAAAGCCACCAGGAAATTATATGCCCAGACCTGTGGTTCAGTAAAAAGCCAGACTGGCATAAAATGGTTCACCTGATAAAAATGTCTAATTTTTAGCTGAAATTTTGGATAGTTTGGTATAATGTGATATGTTTGAAAGCAATTAATTGGCCCAGTTTGAAGAATAGTCTGTAATTCACATTATCCTTACTCCATATTAAGAAGGTTTTACTATATTGAATTAAGTATAGTCTTGTTGACAAAGTGTGTCTTTCTGTATAGGTTCACTCAACTCAACAACTATAATAGAGCACTAATTACTGAATAATTAATCTAAACGAAAATATGAAAATTTAATTTGCTTTTAAGTAACTTTGTTTTAGAGTTATGATTATATAACATTTGTCTTTGTTTTTGTTTTCAAATCTGTTCTACTTTTGCCAGATTGCTTCCTCCACAATTTCCTCAGGAAAAACCAGTGATCAGTGTTTATCCACCAATACGGCATCACTTAGTGGATAAACAAGGAGTGTATGTTACCTCTCCATTAGTAAGCAATGTATGTATACGGTATGATTTATTTCAAAATGTTCACTATACTTAATAGGTACGACTGATATTGAGGGTTTTTGTTTTTCAGTGGTGAGGACCTGTTGATGTTAAAACTTGGGTTCATAGTAGATCTTTTATAGTAGTTAGGAAGGGATAAAATTCAAATTTGCCTTCCATTTTTTAGGATATGTATATGATTCACTAACATGAAGGACTGTGACTTCATTGTACTTAGTATTTACCTTTGAACCTTCAGATTACTGTCAGTAGTGAAGTGTGGAAATATTTCAGCTTCATTATTGACTAAATAAACTTTTAACCTCATTTATGGTATTGCTTCTATAGTAAGTTGTGGATTGCTAATATGTTCAATTGACATAATATCCTTTGCCTCTCATTTAATTCTTGACTTGCAAAAGTGGATTTAAGGATAAGTTTTACAGTTAAATTATCCTAATGAGAAAATATAATCTTTTTAAAAAACGATTTTGATCACTGTGTATTACTGTTACTTTTAGTTTACAATGCATTCAGATCTTGGGAAAATTATTCAGAGTCTATTGGATGAGTTTTGGAAGAATCCTCCAGTTTTAGCTCCTGCTTCAACAGCATTCCCATAGTAAGTATGTTTGTAACAAAAGAGTCTGTGTACATATTTATTTACTTTTGATATAAGTAATCAAAACATAGCTTAAAAATTCAAATAGGGTTAAAAGGCAGTCTGCTTTCCACATCCTCACCTTCACATGCAGATACATTCATACTTTTCAGAGGCAACTGGGTTTTCTTTTTTAGCTTCTTGTCTAATATTTACCTTCATCTTTCTGAATAATATTATACATACTGCTGTCTGTTGATTCTTTGATTTTAGATACTGTCTGTTGGCTTCCTGTCATGATTGATGAAGGTTTTAGTTATCTTTCATATAGCTTTCTTTTCCCTCATCCTCTGTGAAATTATGATTTTTACTTAAGTTTGTGTTTAGTACTTTCATTACATTGACTCTCAGAACATTCCCTCCTGCTGAGCCAAGTAGTTTATAATGATTACATTTCCTTTATGGTATAACTTTTTGCTTTTCTCTGGAGTTAATAATTACCTCAATTTCCCACTTCTTTCAGCAGCTCTGAAAAATATCATTCAAATAATTTTTTCACATCATGAATCTTGTCACGTAATCTCGAGGTTCCAGTATCTTTTCCTTGCAAACATTGCTCCATTTTCCCCCTCCATTCTGAATTACTGCTGTCCACCTCCCATCCTGCGATTTCCCTTTCCCATGCTCCTGTATGGGATTCTCCTTTTCCTGCATCCTGTGTTTTTTTCTTTCTCAGGCTGTTTCCTAGTTTCTTGCTTTACTTAATCCCTGTGGCTTTCTAAGTAAAGGTGTGTTCAAGTTACAAAGGATGAGTAACAGTTTATCCTAAAACTTGTGGTTGAAATAATGACAATATTTATTTTCCTTGTGAATCTGCAGTTTGGTTAGGTACTAATAGAGCTTGTTTGTGCTCCACCTTTGGCATCAACTTTAAACAGTAGACACATTTATTTGCTCATTAATCTTCAATCCAGGAAGGGTTCATCAGAGAGCTCTTCTCTGCTCTGCTCACCATCAGCAAGCTCTCATCAGAAGCTTTTACCTGGGGAGGTCAGTTGGAATACCTAGATGCAGCCTGGGCTTCCTCACATCACCATGGCTGGGCTTTTGGGGTGAATACCCTGCAACATTTATGAGAAAGTCATATTCATCTCCTCTGGCCTAGCTGCTGAAGTCACCCAGTGTCACTTCTGCTTCATTCAGTGTGTTGAGGCAGTCATGGAGTCCTGATCCAATTCGAGGGGAAGAAAATAGGCTTTTCCTTTTAATGGTGGAGTGGTGAGGTTCTAGAAGAGCGGGTGTGCGTGCTCAGTCACTCAGTCATGTCCAGCTCTTTGTGGCCCCATGGACTGTAGTCTGCCAGGCTTCTCTGTCCAAGGGATTCTCCAGGCAAGAAAACTGGAGTGGGTTGCCATTTCCTCCTCCAGGGAATATTCCAGACCCAGGGGTCGAAGCCGTGTCTCCTGCCCTTTCAGGCAGATTCTTTTATCACTGAGTCATCTAGGAACCCCCTAGGAGAGCACATGGGACCAGAAATAGGGCTGTGACCATTTTTGGAAAGTACAGTATGCCACAAGATGGCTGGGAGAATAATTTTGAGATTTCTCCTTTTTAACCTGCAAATATCTTTAATACACACACTTCATAGTTGGTAGAGTTGTTGAAGTGGTTTCCACTGGGAATTTTGAAAGCATTCCTCTATTCCTAAGGTGTCCAGTGCCATTTTGATTTCTGATCCTTTGTAACTTTTTGTGTTCAATATTCTGAAATTGCATAATGCTGTTATTTCTGACAGTCTTCATTTCCTCTTCCTGTAATATTTCTTGCCTTATCTGCTCAGTTCTTTTACTTAATTTGCAAGAACTTTTTCTTGTTCAAAAATTGGGTTGCATTTTTACACTGCCTGGAAATCATCTTGGGCTAGATTATCCCATTCGATAGGAATATCAGACTCAGCCGTCACTTTGTGCTCCTGTGTCTTTGTCCTCGAGTCAGAAGCCTCTCTGATATTCTTTATCTAAAAACAGAATTTACTGTTTTCTTCCAGGATGGGGCTAAATATATCTCATTCACCTTATTTGAAAACATAAGCCAACAAATTTATTTGTTCCCATATCAAATAAGTTCTGTGATTCAGTACACATTGTTTAAAAAGCAAGTTTGCTACATTTCTTAGATTACATTATAGGTTGTACCTATAATACAGTTTTGTTCAGAATTATTAAGACTTTATTTCAAGGATAGTAGAAATACTCTCATGTTGATCATATTCTTTCTAAATAATATTTTATATTTACATACATGTTATTAATATACTTTAGATAAAATTAAAGCTCTAAGGTTAAGATGAGCCATACTTTGAAATAAACAAACTTATTAGACAATTTTTAACTTATTTTTTTCAATCATATATTCACTTGGCTTAAAATTTTAAAAATATAAAGGGATGTGGGGTGAAAAGTTCCCTTCCATTTTTTTCTGTTGCAGTTCACTTTTTCTTCTCTTTGGTATCCAAAGTTGGTTATTTGAGTGTATATGTATAGAACTCCTGAGATATTTTATGTATATACAAAGAAATATGTACATGCAGTATTTTATTCCCTCCTTTTTTTACACAAATGACAGCATACTATTCCCTTGCCCTTTTTTTTTTTCCATCTCACTAGTGGTATGGTTCAGAGAGCTTTCCATATTGGTACATAAACACTTCCTCATTCTTCTTCATGGCCACAAAGTACTTGTTTTATGGACACAACATAACTTAAGACTCCTATTAATGGAATTTTTATTGTTTCCAATCTTGCATAAAAGGCCAACCCTTCTTTGCCCTCAGTGATGCAATGAATAACATTAAAAACATTTTACCCCACTTTAAGTATTTTGTTGGATACATTCTCAAAGTGGTAGACATATTTGTAAGTTTGACTAATACTGCAGAATTGCCCTAAGGAGTAAGTTGTACCAGTTTCTACTCCTGTACACAATACTTATTCCCTTTGCTGACATGGTAATTTATCAAAAGCGATTTTTGCTAATTTTTAAGTGGAAAATGATGTGTTAATATAACTTTTTGGTTTTTTTTTTCTCTTTTCTTGAACTTGTGTAGTCTATCTGATTCTGCATTTTGCTATTGGGTTGTTAGTCTTATCAGTGTGTAGAAGTTCTTTATGTATATATTAGAAAAATTAACCATTTTCCTATGACATGAGTTTCAGATGTTTTCCCCCAGTTAATTTGTCTTTATTTATAATAGGCTTTGTCATATAGAGATTTGTTGTTGTTTGTTTTTTTATGTCAGGGGATTCAGATTTTTTTTTTTAAAGAAAAATGTTTTCTATTTTAATTTGTTCCATTTGGTTTCTCTTTTATTATTATTATGAGGATCTGGCTTCAATTTAATTTTTTCCAGATGTCGCAGTGCCATTTATTGACCTCTCTTTTTTTTTTTAACCTGATTTGAAATCTTGTTTTATTATATCCTAATTGCTATATATGCTTGGGAATTTTCTGGATTTTGTATTCAGTTCCATTGATCTTCCTATCCATTGCCAGTGTTTTTCTTTAAAAAAGAGTTTTTTTAAATTAAGGTGTTCTATGGGGTTTTGCTAAATGCCAGGGTTAAACTCTCTTTACCCTCTTTTTTTTCAGGTTCGTTTCTTTATATTCTTATTTATTTTTCTGTATAAACTTCAGTATTATAATTTCAAATTTTATGACAAATGTTTTCTTCCAGACAATTCCCATTTTTGTTAACTTATGTCATTAAATATGACATTAAATTATGTTACAAACAGTAGCACTCCCATTTAAAAAATTGTTTAAGCTAGATATATTTTGGAACATTTCAGTTTTTCCCAACACCACCAAGTAATTCTCCAGTTCTCAGCAAACACTGTGTTCCCTACAAATTGCACTCAGTTCTGATGCTGTCCACCTGGAGATGGGGTCATATCCACAGATGAAGGACTCAGTCTCACAGACTGCTCCATTTCACATACCAATGGAAAATCCATAGATGGTTCCTGTGCTTCTGACTAACTGGCTATAAATCAGAGGTTCCCATGGATTCCCTCCCCACTCCCGTCTTGATTAATTTAAATGGCTCATGAAACTCCAAAAATAAATTTACATATGTTTAGTGGTTGGTTATAAAGGATACAGATGAATAGCCAGATGAAGAGGTACCTACGGCAGGGCACTGTCTAGGAGAGCCCTGAGCACAGCAGCTTCTGTCCCCATAGACTATGGATGCATTCACCAGCAGGGCGCTTGTCGAGTCTTCTTGTTCAAGAGATTTTGTAGTGCTTAATCAGCAGCCCCCCCTCTTCCCTGAGATCGATGGTTGGGGCTAAAAGTTCCAACTTTCTGTCACTTGATCTTTTTGGTGAACAATCCCATCCTCAGACTATATAGGGATTAGCCTAGATGTTGTTAAGTTAGACGCCTATCCCCTCAGGTTGATGCTTTAAGATGGGCAGAGGGCAGATGAGGTACAGATACACAATGGAATATTACTCAGCCATTAAAAAGAATTCATTTGAATCAGTTCCAATGAGATGGATGAAACTGGAGCCCATTATACAGAGTTGAAGTAAGCCAGAAAGATAAACACCAATACAGTATACTAATGCATATATATGGAATTTTAAAAGATGGTAATGATAACCCTATATGCAAAACAGAAAAAGAGACACAGATGTACAGAACAGACTTTTGGACTCTGTGGGAGAAGGCGAGGGTGGGATGTTCTGAGAGAATAGCATTGAAACAAGTATACTATCAAGGGTGAAACAGATCACCAGCCCAGGTTGGATGTATGAGACAAGTGCTCAGGGTTGGTGCACTGGGAAGACCCAGAGGGATGGGATGGGGACCGGGATGGGGAACACATGTAAATCCATGGCTGATTCATGTCAATGTATGGCAAAAACCACTACAATATTGTAAAGTAATCAGCCTCCAACTAATAAAAATAAATGAAAAAAAAGAAAAGATGGGCAGATGAGCCTCTGTCACAGTAAGTGGGGTCCTCTAATGCACTGGGCCCTGAGCCAGGGAAGTCTGAGCCTCTGAGTCCTTTGAGAGCTGTTCCTAGTTTGCTGTGCCTTGTGGCTTTCTGGGATGTGAACTCTTTTGTCTTCAGAGCTAGATGTTTTCGGTTTTTGTCTCAGGTTCAAACTCAACCCTTAACCCTCCAGGGAAAAGCTCTGGGTTTTGAGTTTTCTCCAGGTTGTGGGTCCTCTTCCTGAGGGTGGGGTTTACCATGAGATTGTGTCTCAGTATCTCCTACCAGCTTAGATGTCATTTTTTTCTTGTTTGCCTGATCTGCTCAGATACTTTGGAGGGTTTTTTTTTTTTTTTTTGGAGGAAATTGTTCCATATATAGCTGTCGATTAAGTTTCTGTGGGGGGAAGGTGAATCCAGGATCTTCCTGTGTCACCATCTTGAATCAGAACCCTATATTTATCATCTTGCAAAAATATATTTTCTGATTTTATCTTGAGTGCATACTGCTGTGCCACTTTTTCTAATATATATGCATGGTTTTTACATTCATCTTTAAAAAAAAAATTCAGGCAAGGCTTTCCTGGGACTTGTGCTGCAGCACAAGGGAGTGACCTCAAGAAACAGGGTACCCTTGCCTGCTCTCTGAGGAGAGCAGGCTGGTTCCTCGCATGGAGTGAGGGTAGGGGCGGCTTGTGGTTGGGCAGAAGGGATGGTCCAGCTGGCCTGCCCACCCCATGGTGTTGCTGTGTACAGGGGTCATGCATAGTACTCTGCTTTTGCCCCAGGTACCTCAGAAGTGGCTGTTGGTTTGTGGCCTTTTTGTGGCATTCATACTTTTGTAATATTATTCATAATTACCCTGACTGCCATGCATTTGGTTGTTTTTAGTCCCTTAAAGTTTGTATTCTATTGCTCAAGGAGACATTTGTCCAGGTGCAGGCACTCCATCCAATAAAAGGTCTCAGATTTGAGGTCCCAGCCTATCTGAGATGTTTATGCATCTTTTTTTTTTATAGTTTAGCATTTTTAGCAACTCATCTATACAATTAATTTTTCTTTGAAATTTTCTAGAAAAGCAGTCTTGACTTTCAGTCAGATTTTGCCAAATATAGTGAAAGCTACTAAACAATTGCTATTTGAACAAGTTTCATGGATTAAGTGTTCTGCATTTCTTCTCTGAAAATATTCATTGATGCCAGTAGAATGCTCAAAACTCAAATATGGCCTTTCTATTCACGTCAGCTGTGACCAGTTGAACTTATGTTTTTTAAAACATATTTCTTTTTCATCGAAAGAAATCAAAATATTCTTTTTAAGGGGTGTTCTTATTTTTTCAATTTATATGATATCTAATTTACTTATATAATTATAAAAACTAGTGGCACCTGCCATAAACAAATTCCATCTATACTGCATAGCAATTGTTATTTAGAACAATTAAGGAACAATTTTACTCCTAAAATCTAATCGCATGTTTTTCCTCTTTCTCTTTAGCCTGTACAGTAACCCAGGTGGGATGCCTCCTTATGCTTCTCAGGGTTTCCCATTTCTTCCTCCGTATCCCCCACAAGAAGCAAACAGGACTATCAGCTCTTTATCTGTTGCTGACACTGTTTCTTCTTCAACAACAAGTTATACAACTGCCAAACCCGCTGCTCCTTCATTTGGTGTCCTTTCAAATCTGCCATTGCCCGTTCCCACAACAGACACTTCAACACCGGTTGGTATCTTCAGATATCTGCATTTTGTACCCTTGAAATACTCAGTCAGCAAACATCATATTCCTCCTCATGCCAACCACTATGGCACAAAAGATTAAAAAGTTTAATCACATTTTCAACTTAAGGAACCGTGTCAAAGAGGTAACCATCAAATAAATAACTGTAAGTAGAAATGTTAGTCTAGAGTTACTATGAAGACGCAGTTGAGGGAATAGTCAGTGCTCCCAGGGACCACTGTAGAGCTAGAAGGATAACCTTTATATAAGATGAAATTCTTTTTTTTATACCACTTTATTCTTGGTGCCTCAAAGCATGCCTGATACATACAGTAGGTGCTCATTTAAAATGAGGCAGATGAATGAATGAACTCATACTTGAAGCCACATTTTGTTAGATGGTAATGAATTTGCCAGGATGATAAGGTGTCATGTAAGGTAATTCTAAGAGGCAACAGCTCTGACAAAAATGTGGAAGCATAAACCAGTTGGCACATTTGTGAAGCCGCCTGTTACAGAACCCTCAGGTTTCATACAGAACACAGGCAAAGACACAAGAAGGATTATGTAGGAGACGCACGTATCAGGTTATGGAAAGGTCTGCCCTAGGGTACTCAGGACATTAAAACCAGTGTCTCATTGGTTTAAAAAACTGTGTTCTTAAATTAAGCTGGTAACTGCTGCCACAAGGGACATTACTGAGGGAAAGACTGTGCATTAAACATATTAAGGGGATTTAAAGGCCTTTATTTTTAACCCTTAGTAAAAGAGAACTTTTCATGGGTCCTTGATTTTAAAATGTGACCTATATATTCAGACAATGTATACTCTATTCCTTATCTTCCCTACTGTCTCAAAGAAATTACTTAGGTAACTCTTGAGACTTTTCACCAAGTTAGTAATTTTTCTAAATGTAATGCCTTTCGCTTGAGACAGACATACTCATACATATCAATGAAACACGCATATAATTCTCCACATTTGTCACAGATATCTCACAATTGGAGATTTATTTTATAACCACAGGTAGTCACATGATCCTTCCTCATCAAAAAAAAAAAAAGCCAGTAACCCTATATGTATAATGATACACTGAAAAAGACAGTGAAAAAAGAATGGGAGGGTCAGGACAGTGTGGAGTGCCAAGAGGATGTGTGATAATGAAAATAGTTATAGGATGCAGTACATTAAAAGTTACTTTTATAACCAGATAGGAATAGTCAAAAAGATGGCTAAAACTTAGCACTATTTAAATCTCTCTTTAGATAAGCCAAAATGGTTTTGGTTACAAGATGCCCGATATTCCTGATACATTTCCAGAACTCTCAGAACTAAGGTAAAAAAACTTGGACAGTAACATTGGTGTTTGTTGTCTATTTAATTTGTAAATGCACACATCATTTTCATGTCGTCACTATTCCTATATCTTAGTGGGAAGTGGAAAGTTTTGTGAATCTGTGGTATGTCTTGCAGTTCATATTTATTGACTTTCTCATCTGTATCCAGGAATTTCTTTAGATCCTGGGAATGCTTTAACAGTTACCAAGATAACAATATCCTTTCTCTTGTGTGGCTTACCTTCTTGTGAAAACTATTTCTGAATAGATTTAACTTCTCTCAAAGTAATAGAAAAGTGGTTTTACAAAGCCATATTTTATTCAGATTTATGGCAGAAAAGTTGAATATTAAGTTTAAGGTATCATTTTTCATGAGACACTGTTTCCCTAAGAGGCTCCATGAAAAGAATGTTCTGTGGCCACTCAAGCTTGTGAAGTTGCATTCTTTATACCACTGTTGAAGGTTTACAGTAGTCATGAGGCTGTTATCAATGAGACTACTGAATGCTATTTAAAATGTTTGCAGTTGTTCTTGTCTTTAGTATATATCCCACCAGGGATGTACAGCCAAATACTCATGAGAAATCCTGTAGTTAAAAGAAGTTTAACTGTGTTTGACCCAGTGTTTTACAATCATTTTAACAAAATAGTCCCTTATTTTGTGCTAATAACTTTACTTAATGAAATTTACAAATACCACATACATGCTATAAAGCAGTTGCATGCAGTGTGATGCTTACAGCCACCCCAGAAAACAGGTATTATTATTGTTGCCATGTTATAAAGGATTTTCTCTTTCCTTTCTTCCTTTTTAAAAAAATTATTATGAAAATGTCAATACAAAAAGATGAAACCTCTTTGCTAACCTTCCTCCAGCTTTTTTCAGAAAGTATGGGTATAGGTCAGAATTAAACTCATAAAACTTTTAAAAATATTTGAAGTATTTCAATCCATTACTATCTTTCTTTTCTTTCCTTTTTTCTTTTTTGACATTTAAACAGTTCCATCTTTAGTCAGTAGGGAACTTTGGCAAAACAGTACAGCCAAATATTATTTTTTTTTTCAAATATTATTTTTTAAAGGCTTTTTAATGAAACTTTTTTGGGTGACAATATAACTTAGAAAAAAAACAGGTCCATTTATTTCTTCTTGCTTTGAAGACTTTTTTTCCTTGTTTAATTTTATTTTTAAATTATTTAATGCTTTTGTGTGGATCTCTAGTCAAAACTGAAAGACGCTCAAAAGCTTTAGCTTGCTCCATACTCCATCCTTCCAATTCCCTCTTACACTCTGTGGATATTGATTTTTGTTTTGGGATTACCCTTCCACTATTGTTTTGTAAAAACATTTTTATGAATACATGTGCTTAGACACATATACCTCTATCATTTATTGTGATAGCCACATGCCTATTAGCTAAATCATCTTGATACTGTGTTTAGACTACTTTTTGTTCCATTGTGTTCAGTGTTTTATTTGCCTTTAAGGTTACAGTTTGCTTTCTTCTGTGTATATATAAAAATACATGTCAAAGATTATGTAGAACTCTGTCAGCTGAAAAAAGCTGAAAAACTGAGTATTTGTCGTCATGGAGAAAAACTAGATAATTGATATTCACTAACATATTTTCTTCCGTTGTGTCTCTAGTGTGTCACAGCTTACAGATATGAATGAGCAAGAGGATGTATTGCTAGAACAGTTTGTGACTTTGCCTCAACTAAAACAAATTGTTACTGACAAGGATGACTTAGTAAAAAGTATTGAGGAACTAGCAAGTATGTCTGTCTTTACTTTTTAAATTTCCTAAGAAATATGTGATCTTTATCTAGAAATAAACTAGAATTTATCTTACAGGAAAAAATCTCCTTTTGGAGCCCAGCTTGGAAGCCAAAAGGCAAACTGTTTTAGATAAGGTACGAGTTAGTTATCATTTTTAAGAAGTCCATATAATTTTAAAGTGGAATGAAACAGCATCTTAATTTTCTCTTTTAGTATGAATTACTTACACAAATGAAATCAGCTTTTGAAAAGAAGATGCAAAGGCAGCATGAACTTAGTGAGGTAAGATTGTTGAGCTGTTTTCTTTTACCATAAGAATTTTACTTTTTTTTTCTTTTGATAGTTAATAAAAACATGTTTATTTTTGTCTTCAAAGAACAAACCATTCTTTTCTCAATATAATCTTGATTAACTTACAAAAATGGGCATTTACAATGCATCTTCAAAGCATTTCCCTTTAATGGGAAACTTGACTTCACAGAACACAAACATTAAAAGGCTAATAAAAAAATAAAAGGCTAAAAAAAAAACTTTTGTTGTCATTATAAGACAAAACAGAATCTAACATAAGTCAGGGAAATCCATTCATATTTCAAGGCCTTGTCCTCCAGGAACCAGCATTGTTACGTTATTTCCATTTAGCAAAATTTGATCTAATTTCGTAATTCTTCTTCCTTCTGGATTGATTTCAAATTCAATGACATCTTCCTGTACCGTATTGACAAAGTCACCAAATCCCAGAAGTATACCAACAATCTCCTCATCACTCTTCATCTCAATGTGAATTCTTGATCCTATACACTTGTCCACAAGCTCTGGAGGAAGCAGCTACAACGGGTTAGTGGTAGTTAGCTGCCATGGCTAAGCCGGAATTGGACTACAGTTTTTACTCTTAATATGCACGTGCCACATTCTTAAATGTATTATTATCAAAAAGCATTTATTAGGCATTCGAGTTTATAAGGCATGATAAATAGGCTTGAGTTATGCAGATGAACAGCTCTCAGTTTTATGAGCCATTATCAGTCATTTGTGCTCCTGCAAGAGCATTTGGTTCCAAAACAGAAAAATATAAAAAGCCCCATAAATAACTGTTCTGGGAGAGTTATTATAAAGCCAATTTAACTCTTCTAATAAAAGTTAAAAAGAAAAATTTTAATTTTAGACTCACTTGCAAGCCTGTATACAGCTATCTTAAACAAGAAGTTAGCAAATTGGAAAATATAAAGTATAAAGTATAATTCACCACAAATAATAACTTTATAATAGAAATCCAGTTATGTGAAAAATCGAAAGCTTTTTATAAAATTCAACCCTTATTTCTTAAAAAAAAAAAAGTTTTTAATTAAAAGGGGGAAATCATTTTTAAAATTAAATAGGACATAATCTTCATATATCAACAACCCACATCATAACTAACAATATTCTGTTTCCTTTAAAATCAGGAATTCTAGGAAGTGAAGCCAATGTAGTAAAACATAAAATAGAAATAAAACAACAGCAAAAACAAAAATGGTAAATAAGATTTCACATAATATGATTATTCTTTTTAACTTTTTATTTTGTATTGGGGTATAGCCAATTAACAATGTTGTGATAGTTTCCGGTGAACAGCAGAGGGACTCAGCTGTACATATACATATATCCATTCTCCCAAAAACTCCCCTCCCATCCCTGCTGCCATGTGACATTGAGCAGAGTTTCCCATGTGCTACACAGCAGGTCCTTGTTGGTTAGCCATTGTAAATGCAGCAGTGTGCACATGTTGATCTCAAAACTCCCTACCTGTCCCTCTCCCCCATCCTTCCTGCCTAGTAAGTTCATTCTCTAAGTCTGCTCTATTGTCTCCTTGCTTTCTTCCCCATGTAGTCTCCCTCCATTTGTACCAAAGTCTTTGGGACGTTCTGGCCTATCTCAGTATTTCCAAGGAAAGATTTGACTGTTTATTGATGTATTTTTGGCTATTATGTTCCTTTTTGGCTATTAAAAGGCATATGGTACTCTAGATCTTTGTCCTGGAGTATAATTTCATTGCCTTAAGGAGCACTGGAATCAGAGGGTAATATGAGAGATTTTTAAGATTACTTGATCCAGCCAGTTGCTGACATTGTGCAATTGTTGTATCTTTTGCATTGCACTAAGCTCGTTGCATATATTGCCCATTATTCCACACAAAAACCTATGAGGGTAGGTATTGTTACGATTTTTCCATTTTACAGATGAGGAAACTGAGACACGTGGATATTAAATAACATCCCTGAGATCATACAAATGGAAAGTGTCAGAGTCAGGAATCGCACGTAAGGAGTCCTCCCTCTCTCTTAGCCAGAAGATCTGAGAGAATCAATTGAAATACTTTTGGAGGCACTTTAGAGCTTACTAGATGAAGAGGCTTTTCCCAATAATGAGCAGCATTCCTTAGACAAACTTAAACTAATTTCTTAATTTAATAAAGAATACTAGAAACCAAAAGCAAACATCACAGTTAATGACTCAACATTTCCAGGATCATTTTAATGTTAGGAGTGAGACAGTGATGCCCCAATATCACTGCTATTTAACTTCTACCCCATTTTCCCGTCCCACTAAGGAGTTTTTCAGAGCATTAGAAATTAATGATTTTCTTTCTTCCTTGATTTTCTTTTTCAGAGCTGTAGTGCAAGTGCTCTGCAGGCAAGATTAAAAGTAGCTGCTCATGAAGCTGAGGAAGAATCTGATAATATTGCAGAAGATTTCTTGGAGGGAAAAACGGATATAGATGATTTTCTCAGTAGCTTCATGGAAAAGAGAACAGTATGTAATATTCTTCGGTTGAGGACAAGTGACAGCATAACATCAGATTACTTATTATTCATGAGTGAAAAAAAATCTTAGCATGTTACTGAGCTGGAGTTTTGAGTGCCATGAGAGGAAACTGAAGAGCCTCTGAGAATGATAGCAACTTGCTGCTATCACTTTAAACCTGCTTGTTGCGAGTACACAAGCATGTAAATCACATAACAGTTCTGTTTCAGAAACTATAGCTCAAGTCTACTCTAGTCTTAATAGTCAGATACTATTTCTTAAAGTCTCTAATGAAGCTTTTTTGGATGACAGTATAACTTAGGGGGAAAAACAGGTTCATTTATTTCCATTTGCTTCGAACTTTAGAGAATTTTTTTCCTTGTTTAATTTTATTTTTTAATTATGTAATGCTTTTGTGTGGATCTCCAGTCTAGTCTTAATAGTTGTGATATACTCCTGAATAACCTGTTTCGTAAGCTGTTTAAAATTTAGGAGAATAACTTTAAAAGGTTTTTTTCATTTGTTTATTGCCCACACTGCATGGCTTGTGGGATCTTCATTCTGCACTCAGGGATTGAACCCAGGCCACTGCCATGAAAGTGCCAAGTCCTTCCCACTAGATCACCAGGGAATTCCATATGGAGATTTTTGTGTGTGTGTGTGTGTGTGTGTTTTAATATTACTTGAGAACATTCTGGGGATAGTTTCTGTTCTAATATTTCCATTATATTTAAAGAAAGGATTTTGAAGTCTGCTTAGCAGTATCTTATCCTTTGAGAGAGTCCTATATATTTACCTAATTTCTCTGCAACATCACAGTTATTTATAAACTTTATACAATTAAGTAAAGGAAAGTGGTCCAGATTTTATTATTCCTGTTTTCCATAAGAGAAAATTGAAGTTCAGGGACATTACTGACTATAGCTTTAATGAGGCATTCATTTCTAGTCCTTTTTTTTTTTTTGGTACTTTATAACTGTATCTTGAGGTTTTTTATTTGTTAAGCTTCCAGGGTAACAACAGTAGGATTTATTTTCATATTTTTAAAACACAGGTATTTGAAATTATATAATCAGAACTGGTATAAAGGATCAGAGTGTGTTTTACATTCTAGTGGTTTACAAAGATTATCTTCCAAACAAATTTTTTTTTTTTGGATTCTTAAATTCTGTGCCACCTTAGACATCCACAATTTAATGTCAAGAAGTTAAAAGATTCTTACTTAGAATTCTGTTAAAATGTAGCTAGTTGTAGGAAGATTATTGGAGAAGTGACTAGTATTTAAATAATTTATCTTCTAGATTTGCCACTGTAGAAGAGCCAAGGAAGAGAAACTTCAACAAGTGATAGCAATGCACAGCCAGTTTCATGCTCCACTATAGGTAAATTGTATTCTGGAAGGTTTGTGTCTTGAGACTATTGCATGGCTCTTTTTAATGAAGTGTTCTTACCAGTGCTTGTTCAGCCAGCTTTAAGCATAATACTATCATTACAGCTACCATGCTATATAACATGTAGAATACTTTGCATTATCTATTAAGCATGATGTTATACACCTAAGCATATGGCCAGTACAAATTGTTTGCATGTTTTCTCAGTATGATATTTGCTTAAATGAGTTTTGTTTTCAGCGTTTGATAGCTACATATGTAGAGTTTAAGTTCCTTTCTCTCAGCTGGTGTGGGACATATACCATAACACTTAGGTTGACGTATTTCTCAGTAGTCTCCTTTGTCATTTTTTTTTTTAATGAACTTCCAATCTGTCTCTTTTCCATCGATTCCAGTAAGTTTCTGATCAGTCCTCTGACTTCAGGGTTTCTCCTTTGTGCAGAGCACTGACAAAATGATCGTCCTAAAATACCACTCTGTGATAACATCTCTGCTCTAGGACCTTTAAAGAACCCTGGGGATGATAAATGCCATGTTTCTCTCTCTGGTTGTAAGCCTTTTATAAGCTGGCTTACATTTTAGAGCATCCATTCTAATTTTCCATTTTCCTCTCCTGTGTTCTCCTCTGTCACGTTCTTTTTTCTACCATCATTCTTTGTTCACGTTCTCATCTGATCTCAAGACATTCTTCCATTTTCCTCTCTGTCTTGTTTTAGGACTGGATTTGGTTGCAAAGACTAGCCCCCACCTCAACAAGTTTAAGTAAAAGCTTGTGTTCCTGGATAATGCAGGGAAACAGCCCAAATGTAGGAAAGCACACCTCAGTCTCCTGGGAGTGAAAGCATGAGGCCTTCCGTAACCAAAGCAGCTCTTCTTCTTTAGATGTTGCCCCAGGCTGCTTCTCATTTCTGCATTCCTCCCCTTTTCTGCCTCTCACTCTCATGGGCCTTCTCACTGGCTCTTCAAAGAGCCTTTCTTTGCTGCACTTGCAAGTGGTTCAGCCACTGCTGCCCACAGGCCTGATCTGATGGTCCAGGCAGCCGGGGGAGACTGACTGGGGTCTTACCACAGATCAAGGAAAGAGACTGGCCCCGTGTAGGTGGTGTCCGTCCTGACCTCACGGTTTTACCTGAAAACTGGTGCCATGTGGTCTTCTGTCTGCTTTGCTGGGCTGGAGGAGCAGATGTTGAGAAGACCGTGTGGGAGTTTCCTTTAAAAGGGAGCCCGCTACAGGGAGGGAGGTGACAGGCATTTCTCATCTCCAGCTCAAACTCATCTGCCCCTTTTCTCAATTTAGCTGTCCTTAACATTAGTAGAAGGAAATGGCAGCCCACTCCAGTATTCTTGCCTAGAGAATCCCAGGGACGCGGAGCCTGGTAGGCTGCCGTCTAAGGGGTCGTACAGAGTCGGACACGACTGAAGCGACTTAGCAGCAGCAGCAACATTAGTAGCAACATTGAGTTGTTTTATTTTATAACTCAGATTGTTAATCCCTGAGGGTAAGTGTTGATTTTTAATATCAAGTATACATATCTCAAGGTTGAGAAGTGGGCAGTGAGTTATTCTCTGTTGACACATGCATGCTAGAATCCTTTCCCACCTCTTTTCCCTCATTGTCAGGTTACCTTCTTATGAAATCTTAATTTATCATCTTAAAGTAAATCTTAGGTTTTTGATTTTCTTTTCTTTTCAGATTTTCCTGAAAACATGAACTGCAAAGAGAGGAATGGGACACAAAACTAAGCACATTTATATTTATGATTTGCAAATTGGCATTTCATCACAATGGCTGAATTCCTAGATGTATTATATAGGTTGTATACAGAACTGAGACTGATTTTGTACAGATTAGAATGATTGCTATGATCTTTGCTTTGAAAATTTTTTCTGCACTATTTGCACTAAAAATGTTTATTTATTGTTGATAAATTCTGTCATATTTAAGTTCCACTGCTGTTCCTCTCTTATTACTGATTAAATACCTGTGCATGTAATTTTAGCTACTTTCAGTATTTTATAAAATGACTTCATTTAAATTTGTATTTTTAATTTGAAACTGCCTCATTTCTTTATCAAGGATAGTTTGCTTAGATTTTTTTTCCTCTCAACCCTTTTTGAAAAATTACTATTTCAACTGTAGAAAGATTCTTATTTTTTCTCTTTCTTTCTGGATGATAAAACTTTGAAAAATAATGTTTTTAAATATTCACAGTATCAGGAAACACCAAACCTGCCAATGTGCCATCTCAAGTAATTTTTAATACACAGAATAAATCAAAAGAATAAGCTAGCAGTTTTTATATATTGTCTTATTTTTAAAATTAAAGATGCATTTAAAAGGCAATACAGGTAAATATTTTACCTAATAGAAAAACTGCCTTTCATTTAAACTAGTCCAACATAAACTTTCATGCTGGCTTTTTAAATATAAGCATCTGATGGGTTTGTGGTTAGATGAGGATATGCTGTCTGAATTCTGAAATTTAAAACAATATTTTTGTTAATAAATAGTAAATCTAAAGAACACAAAAAAGTCAGTGAAATTTTCTGACCTTTACTGTGTTGGCTTTTCTCTTATGAAAGCTTTAATAATAAATAAAACTAATATTCAATTTTTAGGCAGTCTAGTTTTTAATTTGATTTTCAGTTTAACTTGTATACGTTAAACAGTTTGCTTTTACAGTTCGTTACAGAATGAACATATTTTATGGATAGCCATGAAAGCCAATTAAGTAGAAAATCTTGAACTAGATTTCCAAGGCTTGGTAAAGTTTCCTAATGCCTATTTTCATTTAAACTTCATTATGATTGCCATTCCAAATCCTAGCATACAGTACAGGTTTTTTTTCTTCATTCTTCTTTCTATACATATTTCTGGCCACAGGTAGGAAAAATAAAATTTTCTGAGACTTGAACAATGTTTAATACTGAGTCTGTGTTTAAGGAAGGGCAAGTATTCTCATAGACTATAAAGATATAATTTGAATAAAGAAATTAACTTTTTTAACCTGTCTTCTGGTACTATGCTAAGAGCATGCCATTTAATCTTCAAAATGACCTGACAAGGAAGTTATGATTATTATCCCGGACATATAGTACATAACTGAGGTAAGTGTTGCAGATTTGTTGCAGTCTTCTGGGTTTTGAGAAACCTTTCCTTATTGCACTGGCGCCACATAAGCTTCAGTTTTCCCAGCTGTCACCACAGTGGAGGACATAATTATCCCAGTCTTTTGGAAGCAATCAGGGAGCTTTCATAAGAACCAGACAGAACCCAGAACAAGAGCCCAGCAGACCACAACCATTAATTCATTTGGTTTATTAATTTTATTAAGCCCTCTAAGAGTGAGGCACTGTGGAAATACTATCCAGTGACGACTCAAACATGGCCTAGGTATTTATATACTTGTCCACCTTCTTCTCCACCAAAAAAAGTCATTTTCATACATAGTAAATCTCTTCTACATAATTGCATAAGTAATTCATCTCAATATCTTATTTTTTTAAACTTGAACTATCCCAGTTTCATTCTATACCAGTTAACATACCTTGGTTTCTTCTTCTAAAATTAGGTAACCTCCTTACAACCTAGTCATTAAAAAGAGGACTCTGATCATCATTATCTGCTTTTAATATATCAGATATTAGGTCATAGACATCCTCCAGGATGGAAATTAGTCTACATTTGAGTATGTATGAATTTTGGTTTTGTTATTACAATAAAAACTTAAGTGACTTTTCTATAGTACTAGTATTATTTTTTCTTAAAATTAGCCATATTGGAGAAGTAGTGCCAGAAGGCCAAAAAGTGCCTGTCAAAGCTGAGATAGTGATTTTCCTCTAACACATAATAGAGGACTAGATGGAAATCAGAATAGCAAAGAAAAACTTAGGAGTTATTAGATTATGCAGAGTTAGGGGTTTGTCATAGGTAGGACTTTAAAGACTGATATCTCAAATAGTTTTCTAAACAGATGTGATACATGCCAGATATAATGTTTCAAAGTTGAAAGATTTTCTAGGAATAATCTATACTAGGAAATTTATATTGGAATAGAGATTGCCTGACAGGTAAGTCTGATCATAATTCATATATGTTTAAATTGAAGGACAGCTCAGATTTATTTTTAGGGAAAGGAAGTAAACTAATCTTGTGCTCTTAAAGAATAGAAACCTCATGCCAGGGTTTTCCTTCTTTTTATGTTCCTTTACTCTAAAAAATTCCTTTGTTGATTGTAGAGTCATGATCAAAATGCTTACCTACTTCATATCATTAAATTTTCCTGAAAATCACTAAATAATAAATCACTTGAGCTCTAAATATTACCAGTGGGGAAGTAATCTGTCTTGAGTCAGCTTTACATTGGTTTAAACCAACTGTTCTAAAGAAAACACTTTCTGATTGATGTTTGATTTAAAATGAGAATTTACTGTTAGAGATTTTAGTCTAATCGGATTGGCCATGCTCTTTTAAGGCTCCTTGCGACACAATAACGACTTAATAAGCAATAAATAGAACATTTAAAAAGAAATTTCAGTGTTAGGTTAACTTCTAGTAAGTAGTCTAAATGAACATATGCTGAAATTACAATGTTTTGTAAAATGGTGGAGGCTGGAAAAAAGTTGGTGTCTGATATGAAAGATATCCCATTAAAGAACTAAATTTTAACATATCAAATATTTATATTATTTGCTTTTCAAATAAATGCATAGTTCTGTTTGGTATAGTTACTATGTCATTTTTAAAAATTTTGTTCTTTATTTTTGTAGATGTATACTGCCAGATGGAAGAAATTAAATTCTCATCCTTAATACTAGGCAAAGAAGTTTCTAAGAGTTGATACTCAACTGCAAGAGTTGTATGGAGTTATAAAAATATAAAAGTCATTCCGACTATATCCTAAGAATCATTAATAAGGTATTATCTAATGCAGAAAGTTGTTGCTCTTAACTACCTTTCTCCAGTTCCCCAGCCACCCACTGCCCAAACCCTCATGCTGGGTTAACCATAAATCTGATCTTTTTCTGTAACTTTGGTGGTTTGGGTTTTTTTTTTTTAAGAGTACACATATAAGTGAAATCATATAGTATTTGTTTTTCTCTGATTTATTTCACTTAGCATAATTCCCTCAAGGTCCATTCATATTGTTGCAAAAGGCAGCATTTTCTCATTTTTTTACATCTGAATACTGTTCCGTGGTGTGTGTGCTTCTTTATTCATTCATCTGTTGGTGGACAGTTGTTTCCATGTCTTCGCTATTTTAAAACCATGCTGCTGTGAACATGAAGGGGTACGGATATCTTTTCAAGTTAATGTTTTCCTTTTCTTTGTATGTATTCCCAGAAGTGGCTCTGTATGCTGGATCATACAGTAGTTCTATTTTTAATTTTTTGAGGGTCCACCATACTGTTTTCCATAGTGACTTTACCTGTTTATGATCCCATCAGCAGTACACAAGCGTTCTCTTTAATTCACATTATCACCAACATTTCGTATCATTTGTCTTTTTGATGTTGGCCATCCTGCCAGACATGAGGTTTGGTTTGGATTTGCATTTCCCTAAAGATAGTGATGTTTAGCATCTTTTCATGTACCTGTTGACCTTTTCATATATCTTCTTTGAAAAAATGTCTAAGTCTTTTGCCCACTTTTAATGGTATTATTTATCTTTAATCCAATTTAAAAATGTATCATCCAGAGTGAGATATTAGTATACATTTGGTTCATGTTTCCTTATGATTCTCTTGGGATGATCTGTCCATTGTCTATAGAATGGAGTGTTAAAGTCCCCATTATTTCTCCTTTTAGCTCTGCTGGATTTTGCTTTATGTATCTAGGTGGTCTCTTTTTGGGTGAGGCATCTCTTTGAGCCCTGAAGCGGAGTGGAGGGTCACTGGCTGAGACAGCTGGGTAGGAAAGCTGGCTTGGTTCCCACCCACTCAGGTGAGGCTGTAGGATGGATTCTGCGGTGGATTCTGTGGACTGGTGGGTCCAGTCCCAGTTGGGACTGGATGCTGTACTCAGCATTAAGTGGGGCAGCAGGATGGGATGCAGGGCCTGCACAGCTCGTTGTCTGGGGACCTGAGTCAGGCAGGAACGTCCGCGGAAGGGGCTGGCGACCAGTTTCACTCTGCAGACAGGTTTGGCCATGGGCTGTGCTCTCTGATCAGCTGCCGCTGTCAGCGGGGCTGTCGGATGGGTTGTGCGGCTTCCCACGTGTTCTGGGAGAGCTCGCTGGTCAGGGGCAGAGGCTGATGGCTGTATGCAGCACCAAGTGCAGCTACAGATTGGTTTCCCTGCCCAAGCACAGCAGGAGCAGCCGCTTGAAAATCACTAATGCTATGTCTGTGGTCTCACATTGACCCACGCCCCAAGTTCCCTGGCCAGTTAGAGCCGCTGGCTTTGCTGTCAGGACAGTCAGCTCTGCCCACCCAGTCCTCCACTCAGGATCTGCTGCGGTGCACAGCTTCTGGGTGTTCTCGCCAGGCCTTCCTGTCTGATGGGGCAGGGGGCCATGCTTCCCAGTGAGTGGGGCTCTGGCTCCCACCTGGGACGGACTGCGAAGGCCCATTTCAGGCACCTCCCAAGTTCTCCTCAATGGGCTATCTGGTCAGGAGGGGTCAGAAGCCACAATCTGCAGCAGGAAAGGCCAAGGCTTAGCTCTTGTGCCTGGGTGGGGACAGACCAGATTCCAGAGTCAGCAAAGCTCCCCGGTGGGAGGCCCAGTGAGGCAGCGCTGCTCCCTGTCAGACTCCCTGCTCAGACTCCACCGCCGACGCAACCCTGCAGATGAACAGAGCCGATGGTTGAGACTACTGCATGGGCTCCACAGATACAGTGTTGACTTAACCATGTTAACACAGCTTATGAAGTGACAAATGACAAAACATACTCCACTGGTTAAGGAGACTTGACAGCAGTGTTGTCTAGTTCTGTGAGCTGCTTCCTTCATTGAAGTGGTACCCAGTACCTCTATACAGTTACACTTCTGGGATCAGGCTTGGGGCTGACCCCCTTGTCTTGGTAATATAGTCTCTGGAACCAGTAATAAAAGGTTGTTTTTAAGAAGCTAATGTGATCCAAAATCATATTTAAGAACTAGAGCATAGATGTTGTTTCTACTTTATTGGGTATTAGACTAGTCTTAGAGAAGTGTGTGGTAAGTTTTAGCATTTTTTAAATAGGAGAAATATGAAATTCCAGGGAAAGGCAACAAAACTATTTTAACAATTAAAAATACATTATCTCTAAGGAAAAGTTAAAAGTGGTCATTAAATCTGAACACTAAGCTTAAGCAGAATTACAAAGCTCATCTGTTACAGAAATGTATCTATTAACCAAAATCCTGATAACAGAGTCAAGAAGGAAGGGAGTGTCGGATATTTGAGGAAACAAAATACTCATCTGGAAATGAAAGATTGAAGTGATAAGTGTGAAGGAACGAGGTCAGGGCACTTTGAGCAGCTGCAGGCAAGGAAGATGTGAACTGATAACCTCGGGTGATGGCAGAGGTCATTGCTCTGTAGTAAAACCTCCATAGTCTAGAATGGGGAACAATTTTCCTTATATTTGCTTGATACAAGAAATGGCTGTTTCCTGTTCATCAACACCTAAAGGAACTAAAAGCTGGACTTTATTCCTTTTCGTCGCTACATTGTATAATTCTCGAGGACCGTACCATTTCTTGGGCTGTTTTTATTTGAGATTGCACTGTTCCCTTACTTTTGGAAAGTGTTCCTTGTGTGTCCTTTACTTGGGAGCTCCCCGGCGGGGGAGCCTCAGGCGGCGAGAAACACGGCCTCGTCGGAATCCCGGTCCCGGCCACTGTCCTCGCCCGGCGCACACTCCCCGCCACTAGGGGAGCGGCAGCTCAGATCCTCCACCCCCGACTCTTGGTCACTGTTGGCGGACAGGTCTGGGTCTGAGCTTTTCAGGTTGTCCTGGGTGAGGATCAGAGCGGAATCCTCATCGCCCTGGGAGGGGCTCCTGGATGGGAAGGAGTTCACATTGCCGCTGTAATCCTGCGGCGTGTTGGCCGTGCTGTTGTCCGAGGTAGAAAACCCTGAGTGCTTGCTGGGCTCACTCTGCTTGCTCTTCACCTTAGTGCGATTTAACTGCACTTTCTGAATTTTTTCCAGCCTCTAGAAAAGAAACCACAGTTTCAGGGAACAGTCATAACTAATGTATCCTTTGTGGTATATGCCTGCCTTTTAGTGTTCATTATCTCCTGGCTGGGTAAAATGTTAAGAAAATGGGATTTAGATGGACTTGGTTTCAAAGCTAGATTTTATGACTCTGCACAAAATAATTAGATTCTGTGAGGCTGGCTCTCTTTCTAATGTAAGGGCACTCTGTAAGGATGGCAGAAAACACAGCCTAGGTAAAGAACCTGGCAAAGAGTAGTCATCCTTCTTTCTGTACCTGTATGGTTTTACGTAATGATTTTCCTCCTGTGAACCGAAAGTTCATTTTTTAAAAAATCAGGAATGAAGTTTTTATTATCTAATTTCTAAAATTAAGAAATAGATCACTCTCTTAAAGTATACAGTTCAGTTGTTGTTTTTTTTTAAAGTATATTCACAAGGCTAGGCAACCATTCACCACTATCTCGTTTCCTAATCATCCCCAAAGCAAACTATGGAAGTGAGCCAAACCAGATATCTGAAATGCATCAAGTGTGTAGGTCTGGGCTTTGACGATCTGACTGCTCACCTGATAGGAAGGATAGGTTACCTTCTGGTTAAAAATATGAAAGAACTTTCCAGGTAGCACAGTGGTAAAGAATCCACCCGCCAATGTAGTAGACACAAAAAGATGCAGGTTCGACCCCTAGGTCGGGAAGATCCCTTGGAGGAAATGCCAACCTGCTCCAGTATTCTTGCCTGGGAAATCCCATGGACAGAGGAGCCTGGCAGACTACAGTCCATGGGGTCGCAAAGGGTTGGATGCAACTGAGCACAAAAATATGAAATGGCTGTGTTGCTGCATTTCACACATCCTGAGTCACGAGAGGCTTTTCCCAGAGCAGCAATAGTCAGCAAATAAGGTGAGCAAGAGCAAGTGTCTTACTTCTTCCAGGGCCTCAAGTTCTTCCTCCAGCTGCTGAGTTTCCTCCTTCACGGCCATGAGGTAATCTGTGACTGACTGTCGAGGCTGCAGTCCCTTCTCAAAGCGATTATACATTCCATTCCAAAACCTGCGGAGGACAGCAGAGCTTCATGAAACCCAGTCACAGTCTGGTACATTCACATTCTTGAGTCTTCCAAGGACTCTTCCAAACCATAGTCCTAATAATAACCAAATGCGAAGTACAGGGTCAGAAAAGCCACTCGCTAAGGTAAGAATTTCTATGTTAATGTTTTCATTCTCTTGAATCAGTCAACTTCTTTTGGGGAGAGTAAATTCATGAAGAATCTACTTGAATAGATGGGGCTAATTAAAAGGCACAAAATACATTTTTCTAAAATAGATTGTAGTAGTACATGTTACCATTTTCTTTCTTTTTTTGGCTTAAGAAGATGACTTAGGAAGTCAACTTGGAAAATTAGTGTTTATATCACCATTAGAATCTTTCAGCCACAAAGGAATCTTTTAAATTTGTGGTTTTTAAAATGACAGCCACTAAGATAACTTACATTTGCAACAAATCCTCCCTTTTTTATACTATACAGTAAAGCATACTGGAAAGCAAATAAAAATACAGGCGTACCTTGTTTTATTGCACTTTGCAGAGACTGCATTTTTATAGCGTGAAGGTCTATGCCAAGTCTATCAGCACAATTTTTCTAACAGCATTTGCTCACTTTGTGTCTCTGTGTCACATTTTGTTAATTCTCAGAATATTTCAAGATTTTTCATTTTTTGTGGTTATCAGTGATCTTTGATGTTACTACTAGTAGTACTCACTGAAGGCTAGCATTAGGTTAGTATTTTCTTTAAACAATAATGTATTTTTAAATTAAGGTATCTAACATTGTTAGATTGTTTTTTAGATATAATACTATTGCACACTTAACTGACTACAGTATAGTGTGAATAGAACTTTTGTATGCACTCAGAAACTAAAAAATTGTGACTCAATTTATTGCAGTGTTCACTATCACGGTGGCCAGGAACCAAACCCACATTATTTCAGAAGTATGCCTGTAAATAGTATTATCATAAGGATACCTGTAGATTTACTCAGAAAAGTACTTTGAGAGCAGGGACTTGGTGTCATTCATTGATTTATACATAGTGCCTAGAACAGTGCTCGAGCCTCAGTAATGTATGTGTCGAGTGGCTGCTGCTGCTAAGTCACTTTAGTCGTGTCCGACTCGGTGTGACCCCATAGACAGCAGCCCACCAGGATCCTCTGTCTCTGGGATTCTCCAGGCAAGAATACTGGAGTGGGTTCCCATTTCCTTCTCCAATGCATGCATGCATGCTAAGTCGCTTCAGTCATGTCCGACTCTGTGCGACCCTATGACAGCAGCCCACCAGGCTCCTCTGTCCATGGGATACTCTAAGCAAGCATACTGGAGTGGGTTGCCATTTCCTTCTCCATTGAGTGGCTAGAGCTAACAAATTAGTTGCAATACAGTTGACTGCAGGGTATGTATCTCAACAGCTCTCAAAACTGCTAGTTCACACAAATCATGAGGCATTTTTTCAGTGTGATGGAATTAATATTATTCTATAGAATTCTGGGGAAATAACTGGGTTGAAGTCATTATTGGGTTGGCCAAAAAGTTCATTTGGGTTTATTCATACAGAACGAACCTCTTGGCCAACCCAGTGAGAAGGAAAGCTGTAGAGACAGGAAGCCACTAACCAGTGTACTGAGGTAGGGAAGGAGAAGGAATGTGGTTTCTTGGTGATGTCCGTGTAATTTTGTCTTTTTCCTGACCTCTGAGTCGCCCTTCTGTATTATACAAGCCCAGAGGAAAAAACCCAAGGATAAAAGAGAGCCTACAGACCTAGTAGCATCTGTTGGGTACCACCAGGCTCTCCCATCCCAGTATAGACAATCTTGAATTTATTTCCACAGGGCAATAGTTCCATTTGATTCAGCAGCAAAAGAAGGTAAGCTGTGTCATAACCACTAACTAAACCTGTGACTCCACATTTAACTTCTCAGGCATTTGGTTTATTTAGTCCTTCCCTCTCTCCTCCTTTCACTTTTAAATAAAAGTGAAACTTACATTGTTAGTGTATCATTACTGCAAAACATCAACTTCTAAAGAGAATACCATATTTAGAGGGGAAAGAGAGGGACAGGAGACAGAGGCAAAAATGCCTTGGAGCTCAGTGTTACATACCCTTCAGCCCCCATGTGGTAAACAGTGCCAGAATCTAAAGCACAACCCCACCCAGTGAGGTCCCAGGGGTTTACATACTTGTACATAAAGTTGCACGGCGCCGTGGGGAGATGAAGGATTCCCCAGGTCTGACTGTGATCAGCTCTAAACAGGGGATTCAAGTAGTCAGCCCGATTTTTCCACAGGTAAGCCCATAAAGAGTATGTTCTTTCTTGAATTCTGTTATAAAGAAAATAAGCCTGAAAATGACTTACTTTGGTTCTTAGAAATAATAGACATGTTAAAGCTGGAAAGGAATCAAAACTTGTTATACCAGGGTTCCCTGTTCCCTAGCAGGGAAACGAACAGTCTTTTGTGTTTTCATGGTGCAGCAAAAGAGCACTTGTAGGAGTCTCAACTACCTGCTCTCTGGGGATATCTTGGCCTTAAGACGTCCAACCCCTCTGAGTATAAAATAAAACCGTATGCATTTTGTTGAAATTTTCCCCCAAATAGTCACTGGATTGTTATTGTTTGCTAGGTGCTACTTAAATGCTTCACATGTTTTCTCATTTAATCATCACTGTATTCCTATGACATTTGTCCCTTTTGCTAATATGTGACAACGAATCACAAAATACCTAAGAAAACAGGTGAGCTTACAGGATGTTACCATTTATCAGGAATTGTATCTACTAGAAAAAGTCATGTTCTTTCCACTCAGGATAAAACTGGAGTCAGTTTTATTTGAACTGATCATTTGCAAAATTAAATCTGATATTATATATACCACAATAATTTTATAAGAATTTCAAAAATGTTCTTTCATTTGCAGTTTTTAAGTCACTTTGCTGTTAAGCTTTTGACTTTTTCAAAAGTCCACATTTCATCTATTTTTTCCCCTCTCAATTAAAGCAGTATAGTAGTCCACCCTTATCCATGGGGTATTTGTTCCAAGACTCCAAGTAGTTGCCTGAAATTATGGATAGTAGTGAACCCTGTATACACCGTGTTTTCTTATACATACATGCCTATCATAAAGTTTCATTTATAAATTAAGCATAATAAGAAAATATGTGAATTGCTAGCATTGCTACTCTTGAACTTTATTATTAAATAAAACGGGTTACTGAAACACAAGCATTGTGATAACTGAGACAGCTACTAAGTAACAGGTGATCCCAGGCAAGATGGAGTGGGAGAGTATAAGATTTTATCATGCTACTCAGAAAGGCCCACAGTCTAAAACTTATGAATCCTTTTTTTCTGGAATCTTCCATCTAATCTTGGACCACAGTTGGCCTCAGATAACTGAAATTGTGGAAAGTGGAACCATGGATAAGGAGGGACTACTATATTTGCAACTATTATGAGAGTATATCCACCAAAGCTGTGTAACTTTTTCCTTTTCAATGCAAAAATCACTTTCCCTGACTCCCAAGAAGCTTCCTTTCCATATCAGTGCGTGAGGTTTACCTATCTACCTGTGGACATTAGGCAGGAACTAGGCAAAATGGACTTGTGCCTGTCTTTGTCACCTGATGGCCTTAAACCTCTAAAGTGATGTCAGGAAAAAAATCGTTACTCTGTCAGTGAAGATGTGTAACTAAAACAGTCTTCTAAATTGTGAACGACCATCTGAAACTCTCAGTCACAAAATCTTTAGATAAAATTAAACACCAAAACACTTACTTGAGTTCTTGTCTCTCTTTCTGGCTATTACATAGGAAGTTCCCAAACTGGCAGGAATAGATGTGATGTTGAATGTGAATCAAAAACCTCTCATTGAACTCAAAGGCACAGGGAAACTGTTCCATTAACTGCCAGACGCACTCAAGGAACTGGTCAATAACTGGAGAGATTTCTCTGGGATCACCATCTAGGTTGCCGTATCTGTAAAACAAAGTATTAGAGATTTTACAGCAAGGCCCCGACCCCCTTAATTAGAAAGCAAAAACAATCATAAAAGCAACCCTAATTCCTAAACAGATCTTATCTTTAAACTGGAATGCAAAAGAAGTGGGGAAAACATAACTTTTTAAATTGTAATGCCAAGAAAAACTTTATATTAAAAAGTCTGGACAGAGAAGGGACATATTTATGTTATAATTACAAAAGAAAAATGTTAGTACTGGAGATAAAATTCCAGGAGTCTTTACAGGGAAAAGCAGCAATCTCATTCTGATTTTAAAAGAACATCCAAAACTTGTTCCACTTTATTTTAATTAGTGACCCATGGGAGAGTGGAAAGAAATGCCTAAGCCACTTTAGAGTTTCTCACTTCTGCATGGTTTTATAAGGAAGAAAGATAGCTTTAAAAAACTGTGATTCTCCAAGTTTCAAGGGGTATTTCCATTTTTAAAGCAGTGTTAAAACTTGTCAATAATTTATTTCCATGTGACCTCAGATTCCCTCATACCTTTATATCTCCCCTTCTGTTGTTTTCAAGAGTACATCAGAATCTGCTTCCTTATGTTTGTGTTTATTTTTAAACAGCTGCCCAGTCCTTCTACACTGTTAACGTGAATTTTAGAAAGAATCCAGAAGGGTGATTTGGGTGCCATCAAATCAGAATAACAATATAGAACCTCATCTTTCAAGCGATGGATAGTCAACTTGAGGAATAAAAATGAGCAAGGATTGGTTTAGTAGTTTTTCCAAGGGTGGAAACTTCAGAAACTGTCTGGAAACCTTCAAAGGGTTTAGTCCTACTCGCCTTTGTTAACTTTATAAAGGGGCTCCCAATAGGTTCTTTCCTCATAAAACACACACTTAGCCACTTCTATGTTCTTCCTGCCCCAGATCCTCTCTCTCAGAGGTCTTAGGTGCCTAGCAGACAGTAGAACCCCCCCAAACTGAAAATAACAATGTGATCTTAAGGCATCATTGTGCTTTCCTGGAAAAATATAGAAATAGAAATCCAGGAAACCACCACAATAAATGCTAAACTAATGATAAAAGCAAAAACTACAAAAATAAATATGAGCAGCTCCATAAATTTAGAATTTATAGAAAACATTCAACCAATCAAAAATGTGTATCAAAGCCTATAAATTATCATCAGCATGCTGCCTAAAATATAAATTTTAGCCCCAAAGATGAGGCCATACCAGCTACAACCTGTATTAATAACATTTAGGGATTAAAGACAGCACAGCACCCATCAGGCGTTACTGTCCACACTAACCAAAGAAGGCCAGTAGCTTCTGTTTACTGAAAGCCCTCAGATGGCTAGCAGGCTAGTCCCATACAGGGTTTTCAAAGCCTTGCCATAACCCCAGGGAATAGGGAAAGGCTCCCCTTTTCACAGATGGGAGACCAACACTCAGAGAACACTGATGCCTTCACCCACAGAGTAAATGCCACAGCCTGGATTTGAGGCTTGACCTGTTGGACTCAAAAGCCCAGGCTGCTGGCCTACCCGAGCTCCCCAGAGACGCCTGGTACAGACCTACCTGTGACGCATGCCGTAGGATGAGCCTAACTTAACTCCCAGTGTAGAAGATCAAAGAAACCATTCTACAGGCATTTCACAGTGTGTAGCTTACAGGGAATATTTGCACTTCGAAAAATGGAATAATCTAGTAAATCAAATACATGTGGAAGGAAGAGAGAGCCCATCCATTCTAGGTCAATGAATGAACCAACTTCTCTGTCTAGTCTGGAAAAATTTAACATCAGTTAGTTCTGCTCAGTAAATACCAAGAGTTCTCAAGTTAGAACTTCTTTATCTGTGATACAACATATATAACAAAAGTTTAACTTTCTGAATAAGATACCCAAGGCAGTTTTGAAAACAGGCTGTTATTCCTCACTCAATTGAGAAATTCAGAAACAATTTTTTTTTATTCTCAACCTTAAATTCACAATTTAAAATCACAAGATTTTAAAACACTTCTTACCTGTGAGTAAACTTATGACCAAAGGAAATCCAGTCCTTTTCAATTAGTACCTATATAAGAAAACATAAATATCATGGAGAGAAGCAAAGGAGGGAAAGTAAGAGACGAGACCAATAATTCTGAAGGATTCAAAAGTTCTTGGAGCATAATTCACTAGGTAACCTCCAAATGAATGAACACTATCTACCCATACACAGGTGCACATCGGAGGGCAAAGCTGAAGGTCATCTGTAGGAGAAATAAGCGGAAGTAGATGTGGGAAGATGTACTGCCATCACCCAAAATGCTCTTGATGAGCACTGTTCATATTGCTTCATGTACCATCTCATTCAAGGGGGTGAGGGGGAGGAGGTGTTACTGTCATTTTACAGAGGGAAAACAAGGAGGTTACTCATCCAAGATCACAGTTAGAAAGTGGTCAGTGCCACCTGGTAACCTCGCTCCAGAAACCATCACAGCTCAAGTGCAACTCTCAGTCAATACTCCATGCTGCCTATCAGTATATCAAACACCAACCTCTTTACAAGAGGCTAAAGAATGTTTTCCAGTGATCTTTAATATACTTTAGAAGAATTCTAGAATGAGGAGGGTTTGAAGCATATTGAAAGTTACAGCCCTGCTGTGGAGTCAGAGATGTAACACAAGTTTATACTTAAATTGCCTGGAATTTAAAAAATAATAATATAGGATAATACCATCAATGTCACCAGTGCTGTAAAACAGAGCTCTTCTTAAAAAAAAAAGAGATTGGTTGAAGTTTTGCCTTGACAACCTATAAATTTAATGGGAAGGAACCCAAAAGAGCCAGTGGTGAAGGATGGGGTAAAGGAGACCGACCCCTCAGCAATGAAGAGCCAAAAATAAAATTTTAAATGTCAGTTGAAAATTAAAAAAAGAGGCAGGAACCAGATAAGCTCCTGGCCACTAGGAAGTCCTTGTGGTCATTTTAAGAAAATGGTCCCAGCCTAGCCAGAGCTTCACCCTTCCAGACACCTATACAAATATCACAGATACCTTGCAATTGAAGCAACACATCAAGTTCTGATGCACACCTAAAAGGTGCTAGATCTAGGAGAGTATGTACTCACAATTTCAGGAAAGAACCCCAAAACACTGAAATTTTCAATATTCTCATCCACAGTTGTGAAGGATTATTTGAAATGCAAAAGCAGTAAGTGAAAACACTTTCCTGTAGTGTTTTTTTCCTCCAGATATTTTTTCTGAAAAGTGTTTTCTGCCTCATAGTCCTGTGTTACCTCAAACTTGAAAATATATATCAAACTTGAAACATATATAATAAAAATGATGTAAGAAACTATTTTACAAACTACTGAATGTATGTATTTGCCCACTGATTTGAATTGGCTCCCAAATCCCAGAAATTTATCTTCTTATTCCAAGCTTATTTTACCTTTTCCCCTTTAATTAATTTGCTGACCTACTAACAGGAAAATAACATTGATGGGGAGGGAAGAAGAGCTGCTGATAGCAGCCAGAAGTCCACTCTGCCCGGCGGCCGCACTCACCATGAAGCCCTGCAGAGTCCGGTAGTGAGGGTCCACGAGGAGGCTGGCCACCGAGCACACCTGAGCGGTCCTGTCCCAGCCGTCAGAACAGTGGACAAGCACGCTGGCCCCTTCCTCTGAAACTGCCTGAGAAACAGCATTGGCAAAAAGTCACAGAACAGGGCAATCAACAGGAAAATCATCAGCGTCAGGTTTAGATTTGTACTCACAGAATCAAGAAAAGATTTCCAGGTGAAAAAGAAAAACCAATACCCAACCTGTTCCTGCATTTACTGAGTACGCACATACCCATTTAGTTAGGGCAGAGCCGAGGAGCACTTTGGGCTGGTCACCAAAGCATTACTTCCCTTCCCTTATATCCGGAAGCCAGGAGCCCAGCTTCTGAACATCACACAAGCAGGCTTCCTCTACGAATGTCTCCTAGCCTACCTTCTGCCCCTCGGGGCCCCACCACGCTTCCACCTCAAGCCTTTCCAATTGAAATTCTGGAGCTTCTGCTGGCCACAATTATTCTCAAAAAGGAAAAGACAAAAATTGTAAACGGAAACTGTGAAGTTAGAGATAATAAGAGCCAAGTAAAAATGCCTGGCACTGAATAAATATTTGTTTAATAATGAATTGTCTAATAAAGGGAAGCATACCATGTCATCAGAAAAGATATGCTTGTCTTCAGGTATAAATCTGAGGGGGATTTATTTAAAATAAAAAACAAACCACTAAACAAAATAGACAATGCATTCAAAAATACCTTGTATGACAGCAAAATCTTCCTCTGGCAGAACGGAATCTACCTGCCAGATTCAGGAACATGATGTTTGCTTATGCCATTGCTGAAAAGGGGGGAGCTGTTTGCTAAGATGGGATCCTTGAGCCTGGGTCACTCTGGTGACTCACATTTGGATGTACTCTTTCATAGAAAATTCTTTCCTCCATCATACAGCAGAAACTAACAGAACATTGTAAAGCAATTATATTCCAATTTTTAAAAACATTAATCTGTTAATTTATTGTTAATAATCTCTATTCTTAACCTTAGAATAATCTTTTAGGAAATATTATTTCTATGGTGGAGAACATTTATAGTGAAAACTCAATAATTCCTCCCAGTTTATGTCAGTTTCTTTTTTCTCCATTAAATGCAAAGTAAATTTTATGCTGTTATTTTTAATTAATATAGGCCCAATTTTATAAAAATATTTGTTTATCTTATCTATATACAGAAAGATGTCTACAATAATGTTCGTCCATATTAAGGTTTTTCCCTAGGTGGTAGGCTTTGGGATAACTTTTTTTTTGGTGGGGGGATAACTTAAACTTTCATTTTTGTAGTTTTCTTTAGTGTCTGAATTATTTATAATGTTTGATTCATTCATTTTCCAATACTGATTTTTCTTTTTACAGAATGTAAAAGGACAAGAATAATTAATTTTAACGTGAATGGTTATTTCCCTTTTTCTTTTCTCTACTTCCTAATTTCTGAAAGCAAATTGACTATTGTCCTTGCTCAAATGAAGATCATAAGGAAATTAAACATCATTAGTAATGTAAAAAAAATTCTTTCCTCCACCCAGAACCAAGCATAATTGAAGACTACTTTCAGATTACTCTGAAAGTATTTTACCAGTTGATTGCCTTGATGATACACTATCAACTGAACATCATCTTATCTTTCATAAAATCCCATCTTCAAAGGGCAGATTTCACGGAGGTCTGCAAAGCCAGCTCCCTGAATCAGGTATTGTCCAGCTTAGGTCGGGGAGTTCATGGGGGGGAACCAGACCTCTATCTGGTATCACAGTGCACTGGCTGCTCTGCGCATAGTCTGTGTTCTCTCCAATCACATACCTTTGCGATGAAGACTCCTGCATCCATGATGGCCTTAATGTGCCTCAACCAGCCAGAGTTCTCCAGTCCCCACAGAAAATCACTCATGGAGGGAGATTTAAGTTCACACACTGCAAGATAAACTGTGTTATAGAAGCAAAAACAGGCAGTCTTTTGATGTACATGTGATCATATTTGCAGGTAGTTTGTTAATGATTCCTTCATTGTACCATTTTCCGGAGGAGTCAAGATAAATGCCCAACCTTGCTAAATGTCATTCTACTGAACCAGTTCCAAGTAAGCCTTCTCTGTCTTCTTTGTTCACACGGGACATTGCATCTGTTTAGAAGTATTATATTTGTAAAGTTTAAACTCTACTATTCATAAAAATCATTGAATGTTGCCATAGTAAAAGTAAGAGATTTATTCTTCCAGCCAACATATTTAAAGTGGACCACCAAGGAGCACTTGAGTACGAGTGTTCTGGAGGAAAAGACTCAAATAGTGAACTCCAGCACCTTCCCAACTAGAAGTCCATCACCAAGAACTGTCCTAAAAGTCCTAAATGGAAATTATCAAACTCCTGCTAGCAATCCTCCCTCAAAGGGAGTAAAGGCTATGAACTTAAGTATGAGACTTCTGAACGCCTCTAGAGCATCAAGTTAGGGGTTTTACCTTTGGTTGAAAATGAAGATAATCCAGGATTCCAAAGACACCTGTGTTTTACAAAACTAAGGCAGGTATGTAAACACTCTAATATCATCACAGGCAGTTTCATCTCAAGAGCTGCTCTTTTAGTTAACATGAAGCATGAAAAAACTTTAGGGCTCGGTGTTCTGACTACAACATAAATATGACATTCCAAAGCTATAAAGCTCTTTTGAGGAATCCTATAAGTTAATCAAGGAAAATTAAATAATGGGCATTGAGTTTGTTTATTTCCTTAGGCTTTGGTTTCTTCATGTTTAAAATAGGGAAAGTGACTAAATTATATCCAAGTGCCCTTCCAGCTCTAAACTCCCAGATTGAAATTTGTCATCTTTAAAAGTATTGTGCGTTTGCAATACATATTAACTGTTAACAACCATTTATCAGATGCCCTTCCCTCAAATATGCCAGATAACAGAAGGTTCACTCATAAGAACCACACACAAAAAGCACAAGTGTAACAGTTAAATTGAGTCACAGATGGCAGCAATGATGAAATAACACCAAGATTCCCAGCAAAAAAAAAAAACCCCTTCATAAGAAAACAGTATTATGAATATCTTCAGCCAAGATTCCAAACTCTTCCATCCAAAAGCCTGCCCTGAGCTAGACACCAAGCAGGAAAAATGGGCTTCCCTATGGTTCAAGGCACTGTCCCTTTGTCTGACACCATGGTGCTGCCCCGTCTCCACCAGCAGCAATTCAGGTTGTTCAAGTAAGATTAACATGATTTGCAGTTTTCCAAAGTTTTTGCACACATGCCTCTTCAATGATTTTTAAGACTGTGTACCCTCTCGTGCACCACGGAGCCTCCCAGGTGGGGCTAGTGATAAAGAATCCACCCTCTGATGCAGGAGATGTAAGAGGCACGGGTTTGATCCCTGGGTCAGGAAGATCCCCTGGAGGAGGGCATGGCAACCCACCCCAGTATGCCCGCATGGAGAATCCCATTGACAGAGGAGCCTGGCGGGCTACAGTCCATATGGTCGCAAAGAGTTGGCTAAGACTGAAGCGATTTAGGCACCTTCTCATGCACCGTGGAATAATGCACCATAATAAGCCTGAAGGTGTTGGCCTTTTGCAAGGTGGCAAAGGGGCAGTCGGTTAGGGGAGATGGAAAAGGACGGCTGGCTCACACCTGGGCCGAGGAGCATCTCTAAGACAGGAGCACGTGCAGAAGTTGGTGCCATAAAGCCACCGCACCCCTGGGAAAACCTTCCCCGTGACCTTGGGGGACTATGTACGCAGCTTGAAGACAGACACTGAAAATGCTGCAACTGAAAAATTCGTGCAGCCCTGGTGAGAAATCGAGTCAGGCGGGCGGGGAGCGATCTGACCTCGGGGCTGAGGATGGGGCCGGCGGCAGTACCGCGCGCGCCCTCCGCGTGGCGCACAGACATCCCCACACCCTCTGCGCTGCAGCCCCTCCCGCGGGCGCCTGCCGTTTGGTCCTTCTGTCCAGCCCTGGCCGTGACCCAGAGTGTTCAACTTCATCCTAAAATACACACATTCCACCAAGTATTCTCAGGACCCACTGAGGCCTTTAAATCTTCCACAGATAACGCTGACTGGCAAACGTTCATTTGTTTCACTGAACCAGCTCGACTTTCGGGGTGTTAGGAAAGCACTCGGGGGGTAGCTGGCATCCGCCTTCATTTCAAAAAGTCCAGGGAGCGGGAGGGATAGCCTGGTGTCCAAACTCTGAAGCTCAGTCCAAGAACAAATGATCCCTTGTGCCTTCTCTTCCCACCAGGTGTGGAAATCACAGCAAGTTTAAAAATAACATTCCGGGCTTTCCAGCTAAGGGAGCGGCCTGTGCCAACGGGCAAGAGGGGATCGGCCAGCTCAGAGAACAAGGCCCTAAAAGACGCCCCGGGAGAGGATGCCCAGGCTGCCCTCACAGAGCTCACGGCCAGGGAGCCAGCTGCTGCTTCCCTCCACACTGAGGACGGATCCCTGTTTAACATGCCTGCTTTTAGTTACATCTAAACTGGGGATGTTCAGTAAAACAGCCACCCTGGCTTTCATGCAGTTTTTTATTCACTGAGAGCGTGCTGGCCCTCAGACGCAGAGGGGTGCTTTTTGAGAGCAATCAGCCTGCAGGTGATTAATACACAAGGTCAGATGGGGGTACACGCGAGACTCCAACAGTTAGCACCTGATTTTTCACATGTAAAACTGGTGGGTTTGTTTGGATAAACTCAGGATAGGCAGAATTACTGACCCGTTCACCCTTGTTGCCAAACCCAAACCAATAATGACAAACCATTTTGCTGAACAAAGTTCATTTCAGTTGACCTCAGAGGCAGGCATCGGCCACAGATCACAGCGAACTGTGACTTACTAACAGGGAGTTTAATGTCCAGGTCAAATGAAATCAGTCTTATACAGAACAGGTTAACTATACACACCCCATAAGCATAAAAACAACATTTAAAAAGAAAAGATAGATTATTATGGCACCTGAGGAAATAGGAAATTTATTGGGGATAAAATTAACCTCTGGTGATCTTCCTTTGCTATTTCCTACATGAAGCTCATTTCTTCCTCCAGAGTGGCTGGGTGGGGACCAGCCCTGTGGAATGGTCTTTCTCGTCTCTAAGATCTAGAATTGAAAAGTAAATGGGCTGCCTCAATTCGGGACTCAGCTGCAGGTGAGGAATGACAAAGACTAAATAGGAAGTGTAAGGCAGATGGAAATAGAGAAGTCTAGTTTGGAAGAAGGAAGGGCCCTGAGAGCAGGGAAGCTGGGTGGATATAAGATATTAGTGACAGATGCTGGAGAGATGGCCACGAATCATGTAAGATTAAGATGTTGGCAGCAAATAACAGAAGCAGTGAAAAAAGCAGCATGTGTAGCTAGCTGGGGACATAATGAGTGGAGAATCTTTCCATAAAGCTGCCAGGACCAACACGCTCACTGAGTCTGAAACCACATTGTCACTGGCAAGCAGAGACTGAATTGCCTAATCTCAATTGCAGCCTTATGGAAAAACTGCTCGCCTACTCCCTAATATGAATCATGTCTATCTTTAGTTTATGGGAGACACTTTCTTCTACAAGTGTTCCTTTTGTAAATGTTTTAGTTATCAAAAACAACTAGCTATCAAGATGAACAAAACAGAAATGATAATTCCGAGGGTGAAAATGTTTAATCTGAATTGTCCTGGGGAACATCAAGGTAAAGCATAATTAGGATTAAAAACAGTCATTTGCTCATTAAGTCTGTTTTCTCTTGTCCTTTCCTTTGCTAAAGTCATCCAGAGACAAAGTCTTTGGCTTACTTGTGCAAGCATTATCTTCTCTTCCCACTGTGACTTTTGCCCTACATCAAAAATTACTTTGTATCACTAAATGAAGCATTTTTCTCTGCAATACCCAGCATAAAGAAAATTCTCAGTAACTGTCTGATGTACAGATGAGTGTCTGAGAGAACAATGTAGCTCCTAGTGATGAAGCGTTTACCATAAATAGGTACTGTCCCCCATACAGGGCATGTTCACTCCCAGTTTTCAGATTGGCAAGTGTGGCTTAAAGACGTTTACTGAGTCATCCCTGGTCACTCAGCCAGGGGGTCCCTGAGCAGGAATCCTGGTCTCAATGCACACCAGAGGGTCGTGCTCTTTCCTCTGCCTCGGTGCTTGTGGTCTCACTGTCTTCACCAGGCACCGCCATCCAGCGCTCTCACGGCCACATCATACATCCTCTTACAACACAGAAAGCAAGGGGCACACTCTTGGTGGATTTCTTTCTCCCAAATAACCACGCGTTGGTAACCAGTGGAGCCTGACAGAGCCCGGTTGCTCTAACAGAGCACTTGCTACAAACCTCACTGGGGATGTCCGAGGGACAATGACCAGGTTTTTCAGCCATTTAACTGGCTGCTTCTCATCTAATCGGTTAGTAATTTCAGGAAATTAATACTGGGGGAATGTCAGAAGATAGAGAATTGAAAAAAAGATCAACGATTATAGTTTTTTATTAGCTCGTATATGGTAGTACTTCATAGCATAAACTTGTAGGCAATAATACAGAAAATACTTAAAAATGAAAAATTTGAATATAAAAGGTTGAACTCTACCATATCTAACAGGATGAATTAGCCATCATCTCATAAAGTAAGGAGGTGAGGGGGAAAAGTATCAGATGAAAAGGACAGTGGGGCTGAGAGCTGCAACGTTAAACCCGAGCAGATATTTAATGGGACCTTGGAGCCAGGTGTGTTGGGGGGCTGCCCCTTCTAGATTTCAGAGCCCCTGAGCCCCCTGGCAGGACCAACAGAGCAGGAGCCATGAGCCCACAGTGCCCACTGCAGCGGTGCCCCTGGGATGCACTCCAAGTCCCCTGCTTTCCATCGTCCCTTCATTCCCAGCAAAGGCTCTGAATAATCGGCCTTCACAGAGAAGCACAGATCAGATGTCTCTGCGGCCAGCTGATTTCACCACAAAATTTTCTCCGTCGTCACTGCCCCCAATTCCAGGGCAAACGACAAAAGCGGTTACCACTTGGGGCCTGCTATAAAGACCCCATTGTTTCCACTGACTCTTACAAACAGCCCCTCACTACAGTAGCGTCCCAACTGCTGACTGGGCATCGGGCCTTTGTTCCCAAGCTCTGGCCCGGTTCCCTTCTGACCGCCGTCAGGCTGAGGCTTGTATCTCTGTCAAACAACTTGCTGAGAGAACACCCACCCGGCCCGGCCTGTGGTTTATTAAATTATGTTTGATGAACTTGTGCTGAGTGGACACAGACCATACCACAAGGGCCTGCGCTTCTCTGCCTCTGAAATTCTGCTTACTTCACATCTCTTGAATAAAGGAATTAAGAAAAGCCACCCGTAGGGAAGCAGTGCATGCATGCTAAGTCACTTCAGTCGTGTCCCACTCTTTGCAACCTCATGGACTATAGCCTGCCAGGCTCCTCTGTCCATGGTGGGGATTCTCCAGGCAAGAATACTGCGAGTGGGTTGCCATTTCCTTCTCCAATTTAAATATGTAAATAAATTTAACTTTTTAATTTTGAATTTTAAAACTATAAGTCAAATGGTCTTTTGAGGTTTTAACTTACATTTCTTTACTTCCAGGAAGAATTAGCCATCATGTCATAAAATAAGGAGGTGAGGGGGAAAAGTATCAGATGAAAAGGACAGCAGGGCTGAGACCTGCAACGTTAACTCTGGGCAGAGAGAAATATTTAGTGGGAACCTTGGGGCCAGGTGTGTTCTATGAAAAAGCACTTTCCATATATAATGGAATATTACTCAGCCATTAAGAAGAATGAAATCATGCCATTTTCAGCAACATGGATGGATCCGCAGAGTGTCATACTGAGTGAAGGAAGGAAAGGCTCTGTGAAAAGCACTTCAAACTTATCTCAGTTAAAGCTGCTACGTAACTGAGAGGGTTTTTTCACTGGGAGGTGGGAATGCCACAAAACAGTTTGGTGTAAGAACTTAGAAACCAACGTTAACGTTCAAGGGCTTCCCTGGGGACTCAGTGGTAGAGAATCTGCCGGCCAATGCAGGGGACACAGGTTCAATCCCTGATCCGGGAGGTTCCCACATGCTGTGCAGCGACTAAGTCTGTGCCCCTCCACTAAGGACCCTGTGCTCCAGAGCCCGGGAACCGCGACCGCCGAAGCCTGCACGTCCTCGGGCCCGCGCTCCACGGCGAGAGAAGCCACTGCAGTGAAACTGGACGGCAGCCTCCGCTCTGCAACGAGGGAAGCGCCCGCACAGCAGCAGAGACCCGGCGCCGCCAAACAGAACATCCGATCAATGAGCTCTGTACAAGGACCCACACCAGACGTGAACTTGGTCCTGCAGTTCAGTTTCTGATGAAATCTCCTGCCACTCTTGCTCACAGATGGGGATTTTACAGGGGCAGAACACAGAACAATGTTTCACTTTTGTTATTCAGAATCTGTTCTGGTAATATCAGTAACCCTGAGAAGAAGATAATAATCATCAAGGAAATGCATTCTTCCCCTTTCTACCAAGTGACCAGCAGTACAAACCTCCCAGTCTCTTTGATGCCACGACAACTATTGGAAGAAAAAGCCTCAAAAGGTGGGTCTGATTGCATCACTTCATCAGCTGAAGCCTCCACGAGTGGTTTATAATTTACTTAGAGAAAACAGATAGCTGGCATCGGTCCCCTGAAAGGCATCCAGAGAGCTGTCCTCACTTACGGGGCCGCCGCAGAGCCGGGAAAGTGGTGCAGAAGAACCATGGTCCCCAGAGGAACGCGGGCCGCCCTCCCTCTGCAACTCCATCAGTTTGCCGGGCCTCGAGAAACAGCAAGTCAGACCACAGGTCTGAGGGAAGGAGACAAGCTCCTCATAAGAAACCAAGTAAATGCTCCTTTTAAAACAAAAGCCAGACTGCCACGTGACAAGCACTCTCGGGAGTCACCTTACACATATAAGAAAATGCGTGCATGCTAAGTCGTTTCAGTCAGGTCTGACTCTGCGACCCCGCAACTCTTCATGTCTCCTGCATTGGCAGGCGGGTTCTTTACCACTAGCACCAGCTGGGAAGTCCTGAAGAAGAAAATATACAGCAGAAAATATATATTCTCAAAAGTCAGCTTATGAAATTACTAAAAAGGATACGTTTTTAAAGATTCTGATCATGAACACTCTTCATACTAAAATCAGACTACTCTATCAATAATAGTACCGAGCTGGTCCAATTCGCCAACTTCTAAAAAGCACAGCTTATAAGCAGGGACAGGCATACCACCCACAAAAATCTCCAGAACTTGATGAAGCACGAAGCCCAGAGCATGCTCCCGTCACCTGCTGCTATTTAGTCGCTAAGTCATGTCTGACTCTTTGTGACGCCATGGACTGTAGCCCGCCAGGCTCCTCTGTCCATGGGACTTCCCAGGCAAGAATACTGGAGTGGGTTGCCATGCCCTCCTCCAGGGGATCTTCCTGATCCAGGGATCAAACCCACATCTCCCGCACTGCAGGCAGTTCTTGACCATCTAAACCCCCCGGGAAACCCTCCTGTCACCTGAAACAACAAAATTCACGTGGAGGAGAGATGGAGATAGCTCTGGGGCTATGATTATTCTACAGATGCAAACTGAAGGTGACTCGGTTGTAACCAGCTCTTTGTGACCCCGTGGACTATACAGTCCATGGAATTCCCTAGACCAGAATACAGGAGTGGGTAGCCATTCCCTTCTCCAGGGTATCTTCCCAACCCAGGGATTGAACCCAGGTCCCCTGCATTGCATGCGGATTCATTACCAGCTGAGCCACCAGGGAAGCCCTGGTTTTTTACTAATGCAAAAAGAGGGTTTTTTCGTAACCATTCAAAGGTTCCATTTTAAACTATTTGCAACCAGGGGCATCAAACTGTGGACTCATAGAACCATCAGTGCTAGATGGGTCCACAGAAATTATTAGTCCAATAGTTTCATTTTACAGCAGGTAACAAAGCCTCAAAGAACGTACATGATGCATTTAAAGCTTCATAATGACAGAGATGACCCCAGGATCCCAGGAAGGACAATGGAAATCAGGCTTGTCTGTGACACTCAAGTTCCTCCAGCCCCACCACTAGGTTCTCACTACATCCCGCTCTCACTAAGCAGGGAAATTAAGCAGAGAACTGAGAGCATATGGGTATTCTGAGAAAAAGGTAATTCAGCATTTCCTTTGTCCCTTTTCACTCCAGGCCCCATATTTCCCTTCAGAGAGGACCGCCCACCCCTTTCCCTCACAGGCATCATGCTCCCCAGGGCATCACCCCCTAGACATGGGAGCAGCACAGCATTTACAGCCCCTCCTGGTCCCCAGGCGGGCTTCTCAGGTGGCTCAGTGGTGAGGAACCCGCCTGCAATGCAAGAGGCACAGGAGACGCAGGCTTGATCCCTGGGTCGGGAAGATCCCCTGGAAGAGGGCATGGCAGCCCACTCCAGTATTCTTGCCTGGAGAACATGGACAGAGGAGCCTGGTGGGCTACAGTCCATGGGGTCGCAAAGAGTCGGACACGTACAAAGCGAATGAACACTCACACACACTGGTCCCCAGGCACAAAGCTGTGGGTTCTGCACCCTCCCCTTTCTCTTCGGTTCCCCCAAGAGCTAGAAGTGGTGGACACAGCGACAGACTCCCCCTTGGGCCTTGACGCTCACAAGGGCATAAGCAGTCAATGCAGACGGTCTTGCTTGAAATACATGATTTCTGGCAATGAGTTCACGGCTGGTGCGGCCACGCGAATAACTGCTCTGCATTGCACCCCCCAGCCTTGTGACTTCCCCTCCCCCTGAGTCTGGAAACCCGTGTGCACGTGTCTCCTGGTGCTCGCTGCTGGGGGCGGGGGCAGGTGGAGGGGTTCCACTGCAGCGGCTGCTATTGATGGAAAGGACGACCACCACCCTCAACGTCCTTCTAATGGCTGCTCAAGCACTGGGATTCAGTTTATGAAACTCACGTCCATACACGAACAGTTGACGATTGCTTTCAAGGCAGGATTGCTTTATCTCCACATGGTCTTGAATGTGGGCCAAACTAGTACGAGGGAGACAGAAAATATATCCCTGCGCACGCTTCTCTCTGGTGTACCACGGGAGAGAGGCTGACAGCCAATGGCCACATGACAAAACCACTCCACCACGACACCAACAATAAGAGAATGGCTGTTACATGTGTAAAGAGTCCCTGAATTTTTAAACTCTTCCCAACCGATCCCACCCCGGCGAGCGTCATGGTAAAGAACAATTTTCACATCAACAAACTCTCTTATTCCACTCTGGCATCAAAACATTTAACTGCATTTTTTTCAGTGCTGTGCATAAGGAAATGGTTTACCTTCCAGCATTTTCTGCAGACTGCTCCTCATGACATGGATGTTCTCTATCCCGATAAACTGAAACTTGATATTGGAATAATTGTCTTCGTTCTCATAGCCTTTCCCTGCAGCACGATTTGCCATCGCATTAAGCTGCAGTGGGCAGCAAAACAGAACAGTCACCAAGGATATTCATGGAACAATCACAGCACGTCACGGCTATCCGTAAGAACATTCAACACGGCGTGCAGAAACATGCGTTCGATCCCAGGACCACTGTGCTGGGCTGGGTGTCTATGGACACCTGGGCTGAGCCTACATTCAACAACGTCTGTTTGTCGATGAGGGAACATTTTCTGAGCTGGGAAGCATCCTAGAGATAAGCCCATCTGGAGATGCCTTCTGCAGCTCCCAGGGTGGGATTCCGTAGAGCCACGCTATCCCGATTTAACACCAAATGTGACAGCCTTGGCTGGCAGAAGAGCACCACCAACAGATACAGTTGGCAACATAAAGCTCTTACATGAAATGAATGTATCTTCCAGTATTAGAAGCCAAAAAATACATCAGTGTAGAGGAAGGGCGACGTCATTCTGATTTGCCTAGGGGAATCTCGCGGATACCCAACTCAACCTTGAGGGAGAGAGAGGCCCAGTGGGTGCTTTGTCTCCAGAGACACTTCCTCCAAGTCACCCTATTTCAATCTCCCGAGAGGGCTTTTTAAAATCACACTCATTACCCACAACTTCATGCGTAGGAAGTGGCAGCTCTTAATGCAAACTGGCTTCAACGGTAATGGACTTTGAAGAAATTCATGATGTAAACATCTGCCGTATTCCTGTGTAACTGAGGTCAAGAAGGGGACAAGTCCTGCCTTAGCTGAGAAAGACACATTTCCAGAATGAATGCATTATTGCTAACACTTCATTCTTTTGAGTCAACTAAGCGGGCCATCACATCCTAGACATCCATATTCGCTGACCGTTCTCTCCCTCTGCCCACAAAGGCCAGGAGGGCTAAAGCCCAGGCAGAGAACTTGGCCCCAGAAAAGTATCAGTTTTTAGGACCACAATGCAGTATTGGGAGGATATTAATACTTTCCAAAAATCAAAGTTTATAAAGCCAAGTTAAGTTAAAAACACAGATAGCCTTTGACCCAGATCTCCTATTTGTGAGAATCTGACACTATGTACAATACCAGCACACAAAGATGGATGTCCAAAAGTGTTTGCAACCTTTTAAAAAAAATTGATATTAAAAAACTGAAAGCCTATGAATATCTCCATAGGGCAATGACTGGACAAATTATGGTATATTCATACCCTGGACTACTAATAGGATCAAGGGATACAGAGACAATGATAGAGACAGAAATAGAGACATATGGGCATCCCAGGTGGCGCTAGCAGTAAAGAATCCGCCTACCGATACAGGAGACACAAGAGACTCAGGTTCAATCCCTGGGTTTGAAGATCCCCTGGAAGAGGAAATGAAAACCCGCGCCAGTGTTCTTGGCTGCAGAATCCCATGGACAGAGGAACGTGGCGGGCTACAGTCCATGGGGTCGCAAGGAGTCAGACACGGCTAAGTGACTGAGCGGGCACACATAGAGATGTAGAGATATTGGGGGGAGGGAGAGGAGAGAGAGAAAAGAGGGGAGGTGAAGGAGGGAAGACTGGGAGTGTCACATGACACGTGAAGTGAGAGCAGTAAGCTCCAGAATAACATTCATACAAGTATCCCATTTTTTGTAAAAGAAACGAACCTACAGATGTGTGGTTATGTTTATGCATGCTGAACCAAGCAGGATACAGATGAATAGAAGGCTACACTGATTTAGCACCATCTCAGCAGAAAGACAGAGGTGTCACGTGGCTGGGGCGCCCATCAATACCACTGTGCATGCTCCTCTGGTCTTTGTTACAAACCAGACATGCTAAGTTTATAAATTAAATAACAGAAATAAAATGTATGAGAAGCGAAAACTAAAACAGCAGAGGCAAGTCCCTGCCACCAAGGGCTGGCAGGCTCCTCACTTTGCTGTTCTGTGACTCAGCTCACGTAACATCAGCTGGGGCACGACTTGCCTGGCCGTGTCGTTTCCAATTTACAAAAAGAGCATCCCTTTTCTCCCAGGCATGCTATGAGAATAAAGGGTTTAGTCTTACTTAAGAAAAAATAAATAAAAGTAATATTAAGTAATATTATTTTAAAGACAACTTATATTCATGCCTTAAATTTTTTTATTTTTTTAATTGAAGGATAATTGCTTTATAGAATTTTGTGGTTTTCTGTCATACATCAACATATTAGGTTATTTTAAAATATCTTAAGGGGAAAACTTTTCTAAAATTACCTAAAGACGTTTTGCTTTTGAAATTGTGCTATTATAAATGGACTGCAAGGAGATCAAACCAGTCAGTCCTAAAGGAAATCAGTCTGAATAGTCATTGGAAGGACTGATGCTGAAGCTGAAGCTCCAGTACTCTGGCCACCTGATGTGAAGAGCCGACTCATTAGAAAAGACCCTGATGCTGGGAAAGGTTTAAGACAGGAAGAGAAGGCGATGACAGAGGTCGAGATGGTTGGATGGCATCACCAACTCAATGGACATGAGTTTGAACAAGCTCCAGGAGATGATGAAGGACAGGGAAGTCTGGCAGCCCATGGGGTCGCAAAGAGTCAGACACGACTGAGTGAACAATTATAAAAATACCACTGCTCTGTATAATTATTTTCCAAAGTTGCTGGCTTATTCTTTACCACAAGCTTCATAAATAAGAGTTAATAGGATACTAGGCAGTATCATATAGCATATATAATAGCATATCCTATTAGGCTACATGAACCTTTTGTTTATTCTCACCTTGAATAATTCAGTCTGCTCATCGCATACCATAGAGATGACTTTTTAAACAGTGCAGTGAGTAAAAAACAAAATACTATTATTTTTAACCTATAATAAGGACCCTGTGTTCACATGTTTAATAGCTGATTGCCTATGACCCGGGAGAATTTATCGATGGTCTTCTTTCAAGAGCAAGGGAAGGACACAGCAGGGCCCCCTGAAAGTCAATGGTGCTTCTCACAATGAACAGAAGGTGGCGATATTTAATCTATCATCCAGAGTACTTGCTCAAGGTTTCCACACATCTTACAGAACCTCTCATGATAATGGGGCACAAGCTGACCCCTCAAAGCAGGAAACACAGCTGTATAATTAATAAAAAGTCAGACACTATCTTGGACCTATATGCATATTCATTCAGAGAGAGTATCTCATATTACAAAAAAAAAAGTCTAATCTGGTGCCCTGTCCTTTAGGGTGAGAATTCCATTTCACAACCAAAGAAACAGCTATTCATTTCAGCTCCTAAAACTTTTCAAATAGTGGGGGAAACCCTCAAAATGTCACATCCTCTATGTTTCTAATTATATAATGTTCTTGAAAAAAATGTATAGACGTGGAGAACCGATGCGTGGTTATTTGTGATGTAACTGTTCTGTGGAAGAAAAAAACAAAGGTCAACCTAGACAGCATATTGAAAAGCAGAGACATTACTTTGCTGACAAAGGTCCATCTAGTCAAAGCTACAGTTTTTCCAGTAGTCATGCATGAGTGTGAGAATTGGAACATAAAGAAAGCTGAGTGCCAAAATATTGATGCTTTTGAACTGTGGTGTTCGAAAAGACTCTTGAGAGTCCCTTGGACCGCAAGGAGATCCAACCAGTCAATCCTAAAGAAAATCAGTCCTGAATATTCATTGGAAGGACTGATGCTGAAGCTGAAGCTCCATTACTTTGGCCACCTGATGGGAATAACTGACTCATGTGAAAAGACCCTGATGGTGGGAAAGATTGAAGGCAGGAGGAGAAGGGGACAACAGAGGATGAAATGGTTGGATGGCATCACCAACTCTTTGGACATGAGTTTGAACAAGCTCTGGGAGTTGGTGATGGACAGGGAAGCCTGGCGTGCTGCAGTCCATGGGGTTGCAAACAGTCGGACAAGACTGAGCAACTGAAGTGAACTGAATTGTTCTGTACTTGACTGTGCTACTGAACATACAAACACACATATTTAATTATATTTTATAGAGCTAAAGACACACACACACAACTACACATAAAACTGAGGAAATCTGAACAAGATTGGTAGATTGTATCATTGTTAATATCCTGTATTGACCAAACCTGTACTACAGTTTTGCAAGATGTTACCACTGGGGGAAACTGGGCAAAATGTACAAGCATCTCTATTATTTCCTACAACTGCATGTGAATCTCCAATTATCTCAAAATACAAAGTCTATTCAAAAAAACCTTCTCAGCTAAAACCACGGAGTAACTGCATTCTAGTTCCAGTCTGTGCTGAAGGAACACAACAGACAACTGAAAAATGGGACTGGAAAAAGTGTCCTGTTTTCTATCCCAGGGCTACTGTGCTATTGGGTCATCTCAGCATCTTTGGGTGCAGAAAAGCTCACACATGAAACAAAAAAACCTCAAGTCTCAACAAACACTTAATGAACACCTACTGTGTGCCAGACACTGCATGGAATAAAAATGTCAGTAAGAAGTGGTTCCAGCCACCACCAGCTTATACCAAGCATAGACATGCACGCACACAGCACCAAATGATGACTGCTGGTGGCCGGCAGGACTCCAGATGGAGCTGAGAGCCCGGTAGAGGTGGTGGCAGGCATTAGAATCTGGAGCAGCCACATGTGGCCTAGGGCATCAGGGGTAATGTTTCATGATAGAAGGAAGACTTGAGATGGTCTTCAATGATGAGGAAAGATGGGAAGAAAGGGGGAGGGCGTCCCACATGCAGCACCGAGGAAGAGAAGAGAGGGGAGCAGGTGGGTATCAGTGAGCCAGCCACTGCGAGCACAGAGGAAGTTCCAGTCTGGTGGAGGCAGCGAGAGAGGAGGCTGGGAGGTTTTAGGGTTCCCGACACACAAGCTTGGGCTTCCCTGGCGGCTCAGATGGTGAAGAATCTGCCTGCAATGCAGGAGGCCTATGTTCGATTCCTGGGTTGGGAAGAGCCCCTGGAGGAGGGAATGGCAACTCGTTCAGTATTCTTGCCTGGAGAATTCCAGAGACAGAGGAGGAGCCTGGTGGGCTACAGTCCATGGCTTCAAAAAGAGCTG